GCATGGTTCGATTCCATGCGAAGGGGGATTATCCTTTTGTTCCGTTCTGTTGTCATACCATCACGTTGCTGTCTCGCTGATAACTGAGTATAATAATGTGAGCGAGAAGAAGACATAACAAACCCAATAGAGTGGCATTGCTTCAGATTGATAATCGAACTTACTAATGATAAAGATGTGATCACGAGGTTCGCTCAAATTGATTTTACCCAAAAAAAAAAATCTATTTGAATAACTGTGACATTTATTTACTAACGATCCGAATTTACATGAGTTAGTGATCAATAGAACCATTCAATCTCAAGGTATTTCATTCGCATCCAATAATTACGCGAAGTCGGCACCTGTCAAACCTGTGCTGTCAGAAACGGTGATATTCTGTGATTGCAATCGTTCTATTCTGATATGATATGATTTGATTTGTTCCCAAGATAGTAATTAAAATTGGTTGTATCATGTAATTGAGGATCGTAATCCAGGTCAACAAATCCAGTAACTCGGGATCTGATTCGGATTTCATCGGGTTTGGTCGGGATTCGAGGAGAACTCATAGGATTCGGTGAAAACTTAGTCGGCTCCAGTCAGATTTTATATCGGAATCCGGATCATGGATTCACCGTTACTTCGGATTAGGGGTGTCAATTTACAGTTAATTTAATTTAAAAGTAACTTCTATCAAGGTAAATTTAAAATAAATTTTTGGGCTGAAAAATCATTTAAATTTAATAAATTGTTTGGATCGATGCACATTATTGCTATGAGGGCAATACGTGACTTTAACAGTAGTAAATACTAAATGAGAGGAGAACCTAGTATTTTAGGTTAATATTTGTTCATAATAGTCAATATTTCTTTACAGATTATGCAAGATCCGTCATCTTTCTTCTTCAAAATACCTGGATACTCATAAAAACATATTTAATAGCGCAACTCGTAGAAGAATGACTAACTTTAACTTTAGAAAACAGGAAACATACTCAAATTTGACTTTAAATAATAACAATCAAGTTAAAAACTATCTTTATCTACTAACTTTCAAAAGTTAACCAATTTGAATTACAAACAATTAAATTTAAATTTATCTCAATTTAAATCTGACACGCGTACTTCCGATAGAATTCTGTCAGTATTAAGACGATCTGATCGGATCCGACTGCTCATGATCTTCGTCCTGGGTAGCGAATTCCATGGATCCTGGCAGATTTTATGGATCCTGTTGGAATCTACGGCTCTCGGTGGATTTTAGAATCCATCAGGAGCTGTTCTCTGGAAAAAAGGTGTCGTATGGAACTATTTATGGTTCTAGTCAAGATTCTGAACCTTTTAAGGTTTCACTCGTTTATTAATAAACCATCGACGGTTCTAACTAGTTTAAAGAACCATCTCAGATCCTCAATAGCTCCGAATGTTTGAAAAGGTTCTGTCCTGCACCATTTTGTTTTTGTTGAACCATTTTTCCAAAGATGGTTCTGGCTTGAACCAAGATACGTTATTTTCCGAACATGATTTAAGTAATATAAATTACGAATAGGTTATCGGGGTGTAGGAATCCGAATCTGAATACGCAGTCACTTTTCAATCCGACCTTCCATTGATCAGAAATTGGGTCCATCAAAAATTCCGTGACTGCAAAGTTAGACATTTTATTTTAACTCCGATCTCAATTTTGATCGAAGTTTGAAATAGGTTATCGAGGTCTGGAAATCCAAATCCGGCATCATCGATACCGAGCCTGAGGATCCGAGTCGGATTGATGAATATGGGTAGGTACATCTCAATAATCAATTCTATAGTAAATTATAACTTATAAATGCGTTTATTCTTTTATCTATTTTCATATATCACAATTATCAATAGAAAGAGAAAGTAATGTCAATCTGGTAAAATGAAGTCAATATTTTCTTTATTTAGGTATGTAGCAATAATCAATTGAAATGCAAGTTCAATATGATAAAATGAATTAATGCTTTTTTCTATTTAAGTATATGTGAATAATTGATCTCATGGTAGCTTCAATCATGCAATATCAGTCACTCCTCTTGTTTTTGTTTAGGATGGTCTCAACAACAAGTAACGGTGAGTCCCCTTCCGTGCGAATAAATGAGAAAGGGCTGGCTCGTATTCTGCTCACAACAAATCCAGGTAAATATAATACATATGATTTAGTGGTTTAGCATAGAAATGAGGGTTAAGGATAGAAATAGTGGTTAAAGATAGAATTTAGGTTAAGGTTAGAATTAAGGGTTAAGGATAGAAACAAGGGGTTAAATGTGAAATTAACCGCTGGATATAGCATTAGTGGAGAGTACTAGACTAATTGAGTGTGGCGGACTACATTTTACCACTCTAGAACCATTTTAACCATTTTTTGAAGAAAAAAGAAAAGGTTCCAGCTAGAACCAGATTTTTCTTGAACCTTAAATGGTTCTGAAAATGGTACCCAAATCTAGAATCTTAAAAGGTTCAGTATGACACCTTTTTTTCTGTGTTCGCCCCGCCCTCCCCCTGCATTGTTCGGTCATGTATATAATCAGTCGACAGTGTTGTGTATTCATTCTTTCATCCGACAGCTGTAGCTAGTTAATAAATAATTTTTTTTCAGATATCGCATGAGTTAGTTCATTTTATATGAATAGGCAGATAATGTCAATTAATTTCTTATGGCTCACAAGAATATTAGAAATAAAATTGCCTGAATACAAAATCGATAGTTGTAGCCTTTCATATTATTCCCACTGTATTTGGACGGCACTCTAAAAAGAATAGGTATTCTACCAAACTTAAAAAGGATCTTCCGCCGAGTGCACATGCAACTAAAAAATTTACAAGTGAAAAGGGGAAATCTATGCTTGGTTATGAAGGCTATATTTATACTCTAAAACGAAAAAATGATGCTAAATTCATTTTTTTGATATTAGAATAGAGATTAAAAAGGTAAAATAAAATAAACGAATTATTTGAACTACCTTTTTATCTTCTTTTAGGTCGATGTCATACCAGTCCAACGATGGATGCAATTGTTTCTGGACCAACTGAACACTACCATGCGCCAAAACCAGATCTGGTTCCAGTATTGGAACTCAAAAATAAAATAAAATCACGAGCTACTGAAACTGAAGAACCATCAAATACAATTTTACATTCTACAATGAGATCTTTTCCGTTAGATGCTGCCGGTCAACTACCTCAAAGTGAGACACTTTGGAGAACTATTTGTCGACACCATCAAGGACCCCTAACGAATTTCAACAATCAACTGCCTGATCATTTAAAGCAAACAGATCGTGGAAAGAACTTCGTACTTCACTAAGATGAAAAATTGATCATTTTTATCACCGCAACGAATCTTTCAGTGTTGAAAACGTGTAAACATTGGTTAGTCGATGGAACATTTAAGGTAAAATAAAAGCAAAGACTTTCAATTCACTAATTAAACATCTATTTTAGGTGTGTCCAGAAGATTTCTACTAAATGTTCGCGTTACATGGATTGTTCAAATCGCAAATTATTCCACTGGTTTATGGTTTACTCTTAGGAAAAATGTCACGGACTACGACCATTTTTTTCAGCGTATCATGGACGAAGATGATTTCAATCGAGAAACAATACTAAGCGATTTTCAAGCGGCGGCAATAAAATCGATCAATTCATTGTTTCCAAACATTCTTCACAAAGGTAGTGTGACTAATTGCTTCACAATAATCATCTAATTATGTATTAATTGATTTTTTTTAGGCTGTTTGTTTCATTTTGGTCTGTGTATTTGACGTCAAATTCAAAGTCTTGGATTACAAAAGAAATACCAAGAGGATGAGTCGTTCCATCTGAACATTAAAAAAATAATTGCCTTAGCTTTTGTTCCTGTTTTAGATGTCATCAAAGCGTTTGATCCAATTGCCGACGATTACGCCGATGAAGCTGCCGATTTTCTTGGTTATTTCGAAAAAAAAACGTGGATAGGAGAGTCAAAGAAGAGAGGTAAATTGATTAATTAATAATTTTTCAATATTCAATTTTGATTTTAAGTGCTGGTCGAAAAAACCATTATTTCCAATAGAAATTTGGAATGTTTATGATCGAACAGTTGTCAATCTTCCACGCTCGAATAATTCGATTGAAGGATGGCAGAATGCATTCGCAAGACTTGTTGCAATTGTACATCCAAGTATTACAAAATTAACCGAGAAGATTCGTCGTGAACAATCGAAATTCGAAGTCGACATCGCACAAATTTGTCAAGGATAAGAACCAAAACCCTAGAAACTCAAATATCGAAATCTTGACGAAAGAATCAAACGACTGATCGATGATTATTCCAATGTCAATCTTGGAGAGTATTTGAAAGGATTAGCTGTCAATATGTCGTTGTAAATATTTTCTGTATTTTTTTGTTCGTGTATAAATACTTTTTCTCTCAATAAAATTTTTCCCTGAATGAAATTTCTGTTATATATTTCAATTTAATTGCTATACGATATCAATTATTCTGCATTCTCATTAGTCTCTCTTAACCAAATTAGAATAAGCATATATGCGACGAATTGTCCAGTCACCGGATCAGAATCGACAATGAAAAAGTGAGTAATGTAATGAATAACATGGTTGATATTTTTTCATTTCGAAGATGATATTGATTGATTTCTGGTGAATCAGATGGAAAAATATTGAAGTTTTCAAAATGCTTTTTGAATTTTCGGTAAGACTGCTAATTGTTCATGGACTCCTATCAGTAGAAAAGAAATCGTTTGTTTAAAACAAATAGAAAATCTGGTGAATTCTGAAGTAAGTATAAGATCTACATGGGTTAGTTTACAGTCCTTGGAAAAGTTTTATTGAGTGATGAAAAAACAATCGAACAAGAATATCTCAAACCTATTTGTATAGAACTAAATGCGCTTTAGTTATTTACAAAAGTAAAAATCTTGATGAGTTAGTCAACAAATAATTTCATAAATCAGCAATAGATCTATTATAGAATATAGATTTCACCTTTTAGAATAATACTAAATCAAAAATCATTGGCAAAATCTATCTTACTTAACTTTTTACCTTCAAAAAATTAACTTTAAAGTGCATGTAAGAAGATATGATTTACTACTGTGTCTTTGATCTTGGTCTAAAAACAAGAAGGATGTCGTATTTTCTTCATTACTCTCCTAGCTCAACAACTTCTAAAAAATGTAGCTTAGACTTTCTTCTCATAGGATGTACGGTCATAAAATTTTGCTCACCCATATTGGTCCCCTGAATATACTTGGTAAATGCACAATGCTAACAAACCGTGGAACACTATAAATCTTAAAATAGCAATCAAACCACTAAGAAGCCAAAATACGGCTGTAACAATGTATATAACATCATTCCTTGTAGTTACACTTAACGTACATTCTAATGGTTGACATGGTTTATAGTAGCTTTCAAACATAATAGATGAATTCCATTGTTCGACCATCATATGGTTAAATATTTCTCCAATAGATGTATTTGTTTTAAATTTAGATAGTAATGATGAATTTAGTGCTGTTGTATTCATTTAGATCTGTGATCCAAAGTAGTACTGTAACTCATCCAAACATTGTTCACTATAAAAACATTCGAGGTTAGAGAGAGAAGAAGAGATTCGATCACATAACATGACCCATAGAAACCAGGAACAATAAATGATATCGAAGTACCATTACTGTTGTAAATAGGCGATGGTGACGATCACGATGCGCTTATTGAACAGGAACAATTTGAGTACGAATTTGGCGTCGTAAAAATATACGATGAATTTTTGCACTGAAAAAAATTATAGTTTGACAAAGGTTCAGAAACTAAACCATTTGCTGGTGTTGTTTCACGAATAATCTGTAACGGTAACATAGATCGCTTTGTTATAGATGCTATGAATTGATTAATGAGTGCTTGAGCTTCTGTTTGAAATAAATCTGAAGTAATAAGATATCCACTAACACAATCAATGGCATAGAAACGAATCAAGTTTTGAAAAATAGTGTCATTGGTCAATCGACAGAAAGCACGTAAAACCGGAAATGCAGAGCGGCTGGTAACTCGGAAATCACCGCCGTCCAATGGAATACGAATATCTATATATGCTACGAAATTCATCCATTGATCCATAACGAAATCACTTGTACATAACTGGTGTAGACTAAAATTCATTTGAAGAAAGTTTTCATATTTGATCGATAATTTGGTGCATGGACATGTTAATGCACTCGAATATTTCGAAAACAGCTGAGAGTATTCTGCGAAACTTGGGTGTTTAATAGCCATGGTTTTTTGAACAACTACTATTGAGTTGTACAGAATTAGAATTGAAAAAGATAAGATCAGTAAAATAATGAATATTATTGTTGATATTTTTTGATTTTGATGTTCATGTGCACCGATCGTAGATGGAATAGATCGAAAAAGGTTAAAATTTCCAAAATATTGTTTCAATACATTCCATGCTTCGCGACATTTGACAATGATAATCATTACTGTATTGAATAAGCAAAATCTGCATTTTGATATTTGCCAGTAGGACACCTGTAGAAATTGAAATACTTCCTTGATCAGTTTAGCTTTCTTCCAACAAATGAAACTTTTTCTGATGTATTTTGAGTCCCAATAATTCTTTTATGTCCAACGGTTTCAGTATTTCGTCATGATAATACTCATATCTTTCAAAAATGTTCATTCTTTCTTGTCTGTTGCATGTTGTCATCGACAACTATCACTACAACAAAACGCTCTCGCAAATAAAAAACAAGATAATTTAAGACTTCAAAGTTTTGAGAAAGAAAAAATAAATAATATACAGATGAAGTACGAACATTTGAATACTTTTTCTTTTACACAGGCTACATCTCAATTTAAGTAAACGTTATCAAGAAACAAATTTCAATAGAAGAAAGTTTTTTCGACGACGGTTTCCATCTGTTCTTATTTCCATATTTGCCACAAATACTTTCTACAATTATTTAAATGATAATCACTGATCTCACATATGTTGTCGAAAATCATGGAAGCTCACCTATGCAGAATTTACATGTTCTCACTAAAATTTCCTTTACAAAAGTTTCTATTGTAAATGGAGAAAAGCTAAACTGTCAAAGTTGTTATATATGTTGTAGTGGAAATTAAAATTCAGTAGAATTTAAAATCCTACTAGTAGAAATTGAAATTTTAGTTTCTACTATAGGTAAAATTCAGTAGAATTTCAATTTCTACTAGTAGAATTTTAATTTCTACTGCGACATATATAAGATCTTATGGCTACATTAATTTTATTTTTGAAGTGTTGGCCGTGAATCATGATTATTGAGAAATATTCAAATATATTCTGACACAAACAGAACATCACTTCTCTAGGTTTCTCTTAATTATTTTAAGTCATTAGTTCAAAACTCTAACATTTACATAACCAGTACATTAAATCACTTTTCATTGCACTTCTTAACAATTATTTGAAATCAGAAACAGAACGATATTATAAGAACAAAGACAGAATATTTTGTAAAAGAATAAGAATATGATCCTCTTGGAAAAGCATTTTTATTTTTCTATCAATATTGAGATTTTCCATTGATCGAATGTGTTGTCAAACATTGTGTTTGAAAAGGTGAACAGAAAAAAAATATCACAAATGATTTGTAAATAATAATATGAGAGATCTAGTAAAAAAACAGTCATTGAATTTGAACTCATCTTTTCTTAACGATGTTGTTCAACATTTCCAGGACTCACTCTTGAAGGTATCGAAGAAGCTGCCCTATTATCATTGTGCATGCGATGTTAAGCACGAGACACATACGTTTCATATTTTATATATTTACAGAGTTACTAAAGTCTCCAACGATAGATTTTGATAGATTTATTATATCTATTTAAATTGCAATATTATCTTTAATTGATAAATATTTGCTACTAGTAAATATTAAAATCAAAGAGTAAACAACATTTCAGAACTTATACACTATTTTCCCATTTTCATCTCTAACGAAAGATATTTTTAAGGAACTGATGAAAAGAATATATAGTCTGACGAAATAATTAATCAACTACGGTTCGCTGTTTTTTTAGTATCGATTGAAACAATTTGATCCGTCACTCATAGCTATCAACTTCTTGTTTTTTTGCGATTATATCTATATTGCCTCGGGTAGAAGCCGATAAAAATTTCTTGATGAAATAATTATCTTCTATTATTGTTATTAGTAATAAAAATGTCTTGAGTTCATCGATTCAAATTTTCTCATCATTACAAATCAATATAAACATATATTTTTCAACATTCAATGTTCACATAGTGTAACGGTATGTCATTCATTATAATCTATACAATAATTGAATTTCGACCAAGTTTTTCGATGAATTTCTGTTGACGGTGATTAAAACTGAACATACATTTGCTACTACTTTGTGTTTTGCGTAGTAAATATGAATGTAGTTAATTTAAATTACGCGATGGCGCTATGACATCGATTGGTGTTAAATAGAAAAATTTGCCGTAAATTTCTTTTTATCGATATAATTATAATCAAAAACTAAAAATAATATCATACAACAGTGATTACCTTTTCGCAACTTATAATTTTGTCACTCGATGCCATCATTTCTAGTATCTCGGTAGATTTGATTTTAAAAACTCGTGTGTGATTAATATTTTTTGTTTTGTCTCATCTGCCGACTATTGCAGACTTTAAACAATCTATTAGATTGTTATCTATGTAACATTGACTTACTGTTCGGAATAAATGACGTTCTAATGATAATATCTCTCAATAAGAGAAAAAATATCTCTGCGAAAACAAAACACAGGTTAACAATCGAAATAGATTTCTTTGTATTTCAATGAAAATCTCATTCATCTATGATAATAGTCTGTTATTTTGAAATCTTACTCCATAGTATCATTATCTGTCATGTTGTTCCCTGTGGTATCAGCGAGCTGATTAAATCCGATTTTTGTCCCTTAACTATGCAACTGACGATAAGCAGAAACAAATGTAAGACAAGATTGAATGATTAGATTAATTTTTATTATCATTTTCATTAATTTCAGCAAATAAATTAACAAAAATTCAATAGTCAATTGTTATATGTATGATGAGTTGCGATTTTTCTATTTAGATTTGCGTAAAACAATTCTATACTGATAGGTTATAGTATTTGAGTTGTGTTTCTTTTTTTAGTGTGAAGTGCTTCAAATTAATACGTATCGATATACCACCTGTTCAGGTAAAAGCATTCTTATACGTGTAATTCACATCCGATTTACATTGATCTTGTGGGTCGTCTATATGTCTTTTCTTTTTTCTTTTTCTGACATCCTTTGATCGCTATTAGATGAAAAAAATACGATGAAAGAGAACGAGAGAAGAAGGAAAAAAGAAACGCGATCAGGAAAAGTGCGACGATTGAGAAGAGTTTTTGTATGTCGATATTTTCTCTTTATTTATTGTTCTATATTCATTATTATTATAATTATAGTTATATTCCATAGCAGATACATACATATTCGTTATAGAAAATAATAATGATCTACTTAGTATGAAATCTATATTTGCTTTTGGTCTTTTTTTTGTAGATGCATCTCATTCATTCATATAATAGATTACACTTGATTTGATAGCAAATTTCCTTGCCATGAATGAATATGATTGAGCACTCACAAGAAGGTAATCAACAGTCAAAATATATACTAATAGAAATAATCAAAGAACTTGACATGTATTTTCATTTGTTCGTATATAAAAAGAGAGAAAATATTTCCATTAGACCTATATTCCTTTTTTTTTATAGAATGAAAACAACTCTGATTCCAATTATTAGATATTAAAATGCGTCATTTTTCTTTTCCTTTTTTTTGTTAAAATGTTTCCGAAAAATTTTCTGACGATTTCTTAATATATTATTGGAATGTAAACCATATATATATATACGTATATGAGTGAATTGCGCTGACATACGGCTGCTCTGCGAACACGAAAAATCTTATAACTCAACTTCTACTCAATCGATTTGGACAATTGTTTTGTTGAAATGCTCCATTCAGTCCGTCCTATTCACCATAAAATTATCGAGGTTTTTATTTGCGTGGTAAGGATTTTTCAAGCATAAAAGATCATTACGAAAGCTGTTTGACAGGATCTATCGACAGAAATTCCGTTTTATATCCTACAATTCTGACTGGATAAATAGATTTTTTACGGAAGTTGGCAGCTCAGGTTCTCCTCTTTTTAACTATATAAAGTAATCTTAATTTCGATTTTAATTTCCTGATCAAATCTTGCACAAATATGAAAACATACACTTTGACCATTTTTTGTCACAACAGATTAAATTGTAACTACTAAAGACTACTTACAAGCTAACTCAAATTTCTTTTTTGTGCTTGACCGAGCAAAGAGTGAGAAATATTTTGATTTAAAAAATAAATTAAAAAAATGTTCACGATGAAACAAAAAAGTAAAAATAAAACAGACTGGTAGCTATTGTCGCACTAAATGTCATGACAGATTTCTTATTTTGACTTTTTGATTTCTCGCTAACTATACGAGATTAGTCAATGATGTTTTTACCATTTTTGACGGAGTATATGGTACATCTATGGTAAAAAGTTGAGCTGTTAACTAAGTGTCGTTCGCCAGAAAATAGCATTTTACTGAAAAAATGTCACAACAGATTAATATGATAGATATTCAGAGAAAATATGATATTTTTTCATCTTCTTTTACTTCTATCGACTCCTCTCGACTGAGAGACATTGCTAGACATTTCATTGTTATCGCGAAACAATGTTAAAAAGAACTTAGTTATAAAGCGCGTTTCTAAAAAAATATATGCGTTTTTAATAATAGCAATCGCATTACACTCCCGAAAATGCATGAATAATACAAGCGAGTAAAATTCTGCACATGTCTCTTGGATTCCCCGATTGCAAATGATTCATTTCATATATGATAACCATGTAAAAACATTTTACTCGTCATTTTTTTTGGTCAAAAAATCTCGGACCTTTCATATATTTTGAGATCTCAATTTTCTCTGAAACGAAAAACCTGACAGTGGAGAAAATAGTTGACTCATATACAAAAAATAAGGCTCTATCGAATGCACGGGTCAAATCTATCCTCCGTTTACTTTTATTTTTTTTCGATTTTTTTCTTCAAACCGTATAATGTCAGCGCAATTCACTCATATATATAGTAATGAGAGTCATTATTTTTGAATTAATCGATCAAGCTTTTTCTTGAGTAGGCGGCATTTTCTCATCTTCATTTATCTTTTAAGAATGGATATTATTTCACGCCGTTCCTATTGCTTCTAGACGAAATAAAACAAAACAAAAAAAGTAAGAAGAAATTCTTATGCTTAATAGCACCATAATGACAACACCATGTACGTTAACAGAGTATGAAGTACTTAATCATACATTGCCGAATAAACTTTATCTTATTTTAACACCATTTATTATTTGTATTGGATTAATTGGAAATATTCTTACTGTTTTCGTATTTGTTTTAACTGATCTTAAAAGACAATCAGTATCGATAATAACGATTGCTTTAGCTATAGCCGACTCATTTGTTCTTCTTATACCTGTTGCAATTCTATGGCTTGAAAAACTTTTACGGCAAGAATTAACTGATCTATCACCATTTTGGTGTCGTACGCATGGTTTGTTGATATATAATTTGCTTTTTTTCATTTTTATATTTTTGTTAGTATTATATAGGTTTCTTTGATTTAACATTTACATGTTGTTCAAGTTGGTTAATGGTTTGCATAGCTTTTGAACGTTTTTGTGCTGTTTGGTTACCACATAATAATAAAGCAATACTTACGCATCGGAAAACATTGATTGTTGTTCTTATTATTGTATTTATTTCAACAGTTTTATCAACATGGTTTATATTTGTTGTTAAAGCAACCAAAATTCAAACATTATTACTGAAAAATTCTACTGAGAACACATTGGTTACTTTAGATAACCGTTCGCTAATTCAATCTTCTTGGAAATGTAATCTTATTGATGATAGTCTTTATGATTCCATGGGTATGTTTTCTGTCATAATTAATTATGTATTACCATTTATTTTTCTATTACTATTAAATTCAACTGTTATTTATCGCTTATGTCAACGTGGTATTGTTGATCTAAGATCATCAATCACTGTTATGTTAACGCTTGTTTGTATAGTGCATTTATTTTGTACATTACCATTTCAATGTTGGTGGATTTATTATGAAGTTCGAGATCAAACAGGTGATTGTTCGTGGTTAAAAAGGAAATTAACATGGCATGCAATAACATTTACGATACGAAATTTCAATTATATGGCAAATTTTTTTCTTTATTCATGTTCATCAAAATTATTTCGTAATGAACTAAAAGGTTTAATTGTTTTAAGTTTACTACCACATGAAAAACATCAAAGTTATCATTATCGTCGACAATCGTTATATGATAATAGGCGACAACAAAGCATTTCTTTAACACGATTGATTATGAGACGATTAAGTAGAACAGCTGCATATAAACATGTTGGAGCTATTCATAGTGTAGCAGCTGAAATACCACTCACTAGTCTAAATGAACATGGCTGAAGAAGAAAGAACAAAACTTTACACAACTTTTTAATATTCCGATATTTGAATGTTTGTACGAATAAATATGAAAACTAAAAGTAGCAAATATTTTCAATCGAACCGACAAGATTAATTATAATGGTACTTTACTCAAGGGAAAATATTATGTTTAAATGAATAATTTAGAGCACTAAAAATCCAGAGAGACCGATTTCTTTGGACTATCAAACGCACGAATCCTATTAATTTATGGAATAATTCTAGCTCTCGTATATATATATATATATAGGTTTTCATAAGAATTGTGTAAATCGTTTTATATTTATCAATAAATATAGACAACTGTTAGCAATAAGTAATTGTTAAAAATATTTTTCTAACAGATATTATGATAAATTTATTGTTAATCGTTGACTTCTAGTTCTTGAAAGGACCTTATTTCTACTTATTATTCTTGCTCTTTTCTATAGAATTATTACAGCTCGATATAATATAACGAGAAATTTATTTGACTAGATCAACTGATGATTGATGATTGTCTCGTTTTCAATATGTAATCTAATCGCAAAGGCTTTATTGGTTTAGTTTCAATATAGTCGATTAAATAAGATTGATAAATTATCTAATAAACTATTCACGAAGAAAGTTTTTTATTGACAACTTTCGAGCATATCAAATTAGTTCAAACATAGAGGAGCTGTTAGAATCATGAAAGTTCTAGAACATCGATAGAATTCCTCGATGATTAGAATGCATTCGTAAAAAGGTTTATCTAATAAAAATTGATTGACAAACTTATTTCTAACAGATTTTGATTTTGAAAAAACTACAGAGTAAACTTTCATTGTATCAGTATATCTTTTCACTTTTAAATAGAAAATTTTTGTTTTCGAAAGTACTCGATTTAGCAACAATAATAACAATTCAATTCAGTAAGTGTTGCATTGACGTTTGTTACTCGTAAATTTCATTCAAGGCGTTGTTCAGCTATCGTATAATACTTAGCGTATCAAACTCATATTGATGGAACCGATACATTTGAATAAATATCTCTTTCAGTCTTTTCTACAGATCGTCATGTTAGAATAGTTTCCTAAGAAAATTCACCATTCGATTTTCTAGCACAAACTATGGCAGCTTTGATTAGAAAATCTGAAGCAGAAATATAACATTTATAGTACTGCAAAGACTAAATTAAAAAGCTTTTGTGCTTTCAAGCTTTGAACATATATGACGTATCATACAATGACAAATTACTCGGAGGAGCTTGGATAATTTTGTTCTTTCACATAATATTTTTTAAAGGTCGTTTGAACCAAGTTTTACCAGAATTGAACATGAATACATAAAAAATGAGTCAAAAACATGTAACACTTAACTTGTTTGGAACTATACTTTTGATTATGAGTTCTTGTTCTAATAATGACATTTTACTTTGATCAAAAATGCATTTCTGTTGTAATCGCAATGTATTAACTCTTTTAGTTTTTGTTGATATTAAAATTTTACACCATTGATCGCAGGATAGCACATGTAAAATGTTACGAGGTTAATATCTAGTTTTTCGATTAACGAAAAACTCATAAATAAATATAAACAGAATGTTTTTTTTAAATATTAATGATAGTTAGTCAAATTGAATTCTCGTCGTGTTTTTATTATATCAAACCCCCTAGCTTCATGTTAATATGCTTTCTTTTGATCGTATAAGGTCTGCTATCCAGTACGATAAGTTATATAAACATACAATGAAAGAAATCTTAGTAAGCAAAATCCAGATCAAATAAACATTACAGCTATGAATTAGATGATCTTAAAAGAAGCAGATATTTTTTTCATCTGGATGATTCTTCGTCAAAGCCACGATCACGAACAAAGTTTGAGCATCATAAATTTCGAAAATATAGTTATATGAGGATTATTTTTAATATCGTGAGACTGTAGAGTTGAATTTTATTTATTTTCCTTACTAAGTTCTAATTTATTAGTATTTTTACTAAATGACGTTTTAGTTGTTTCACATAATTTGAATCTAGAATAGTTTCTTATACGCCCAGGGGGGGGGGCGGGGGGGGGGGGGGGGGGGGGGGGGGGGGGGGGGGGGGGGGGGGGGGGGGGGGGGGGGGGGGGGGGGGGGGGGGGGGGGGGGGGGGGGGGNCCCCACCCCCCCCCCCCCCCCGTTATTCTCTCGTCTTGTTTCCTTAGGAAATCGGAAAGGGTAACAAAACATTTTTCTTTTATGGCAACGACAATACGGAAATAATAATCGAAAAAACTCGTTTGTATAGAACACTAATTGAGAGGTTACTATTGCGATTTTTAAAATTTTTATTGTAATCAAAGCATGTTTTCATAATGGATCATTCAAGTTGAGTACAACAAGGCAAAAACCAACACCAAAGTTTAATGAAACCAATTAAAAAATTCTTGCTTTCTAAAACTATCGATTGATTTACTATCTAAATTATGAATGCTTCGAATTATTAGGAGCTTTCATCTTTATCAACGGATAAGATTAGTATTGGTTTTAAAACAGATCTAGCTGCAACAATCGGTCAAATTTTCTTATGCTACTATGTCGATAGCAGTAATGTTCCCATCTAGTTGATTCAAATAGTATTATATGTTAGAATAATTTTTTATGTTATCAGTATAATCTTTATATCTTATAGTGCTTGGTAAGCTGACAAAGTGCTATGTTGAAAAAGGAATTCATTTGTTTTATTTATTTGTCTTTTGTTAAGCGAATAGAAAACGCCATAGAAGAGTCTCTACGTGATTTTTTGTTACAAGGATAAAACTTGTTTGCGTATAAGATCCAATGTCAAATATCATATAGATACAGTTTATACAAAAATCATTAACCATATAATCATATTATTAAACTTTACTAGATGATTTTCAATAGAAATGACATGAATGATAAAGAACATACATACTATTCACTGATTGAACAAAATCATAATGAAAACAAGTATAAAGCTACATGATCTTGTGTTTCATAATTATAAACAGATAAACAACGAGAAGGAATTAGTTATCTTCGAATTGCATCCTCTTGAACTTCACCGATGAAGAAAAAAAGATCTGCTATTACTTTGATTTAATGATTAATCTGTTCGTCTTTCGGGTAATTGTTCATCGAACTGACTGAACTTATTTATTATTCCATTAAAGCACTTGTCATTGTGATGACGTCAAACTATATTGTTACTAATCGTGGTAATTAAATATGAGTGACGAAGTTCACTGGTTCATCAAAATTTTCTTGGATCACAATGATTTATATTTCATGAATTTTCTCCAACACCATGAAAAGTATAGTTCCACATGAAAAATTAACTACAAAAAATATCAATAGGATCTTCAGAAAATTATTTCAGCAATTCGACAAACTCGATAGAATTTTCCATGATCTAGAAGATATGTTTAAGTTTATGGAGCTATTTCTTTCAGTGTGGAACTATTTTATTTCTCGAATAATAACAAAAAGTCTTCTAGCTGATTGAAAATTAAGAAAAAAAAACAAACATAGAAAATCATAAAAGATCCTAGATGCCTCTACAGCCAATAGGGATTTGATAATTTGTTTTCTCTATTCAATGGGTTATAATTAATACATTTAATGAATGTAATCAATTGTGATTTTTCATTGACCTTAATTATTTAGATTATCATAACATTCTTTGATGAGTTTAGCTTATAATCTCTGAGAGATTTTCATTAAGATCATTCAACTTGGTTATTATTTAATAATTCAGGCTAAAAGAACTGTAGACATAGGCGAACAATATAGTTTTCTTCTTTGAAAGACTTTTTATTATACAAAAAAAAAGAATTGAAAATTATCAACTCTTAATTACTGTTTGAATTTTTTGAATTAAAAAAAAATTGAACAATTAAATAAGAAGACTAGAACATTAAATTATGTCCATGATTCAACAAAATCTTCAAGCACACTTGTTTCAATATCATTTATTGTATCTGGTGATAAAACTTGATCATTTCTCACATATAAATTCTCGTTAAGATGAATGCGACCTAAAAATTTGAAAAATGGAAATAATTCGATGATAGTTGATATGGTTCGTAAACGAAGTAAAGGAGGATTTGAATTGCTGTCGATTATTGGCAAATGATCATGTAGCGGTGTTGTTGTTGATGTTAGTTTTCGTTCAAATAATTTAAATAGTCGTATTGAAAAAGCAATAAATATATCAAGATTTGAATCGGAATTATCTGTATCATGATCAGCAACAAACGCAGAACGAAATCTATGAAATAAATGTTTCAAAAACTACATAGAAATAGAAATATACTTACAGTTGAAAATGATACAATCCTGAATAGGACATTATCAGAAGAATATCAAGTAATTTACACGCATATAAATACATTTTTAGAGAAGGATTTGTATCAGACGATCCATTTGAAATATTTGTTAGTGTTAAATCATTTGTAGTCATTTGTTGAACGTTTGATCTAAATAAGGATCTTGGTGGAAAACGTCGAAAAGGAAAATGGCGAAAGAGAAAAATGGCGAAAGTGTAAGTAATTTATGAGAAAGAGATGTAGATGAAAATTTGAAAGAAAAATGTCGGAACGACGAATTCATAGCCTTGATCCATAATGAATACTGTTTTAATAATAATAAAAAAGAAGAGAGAGAATATAGAAAATATAATAAACGTTATTTTTTCTCTCTCCAATTAATAATGATAAACCTGATCGTAATAGTTTTGCTTCTAATTGATTAGGATTTGCAGAATGATTATGAATACCATTGATACATATAAGTTCGTCAGTAGTGTTTGTATGAATATAAACACCACAGTCTGATTCACTACACATCCAGTATATTTTTGATTTTGTCGTTTTATTGCATCTGAAAACGTAGTTTTTAAATATTAGTAATCGCTTGCCTTTGTTTGATATCGAAAACGTTATTTGACATTGTAGATTGTTAAGTGAGCATTTTTCAGGTGTCGAGTTCGAGATCATTTAAAATATATGTATTTCTTTCCACAAAATTTTCTTTATTCAATGTAAAATACAATATGCCGGACGAAGAGAGACCAATGAAAACAAAAAAAAATCAATTTTACAACTGACCTTTTTCAATATATTCGACATTTTTCTTTCACAATCTACTGGATATTTTTATTTCTGTGTTTCGACGTTTTCCTCTTCGATATTTTCCTTTTCGACATTTTCCACCAACCCCAAATATTTCAACAATCAAACAGAAATTCTATTGTTGAAATAATTAGTTTTTCAAGATAAATCTCAACTTTTAACAGTTAACACTTAAGTTGAAACTTGAACTAAACGTCTTACACAATCGAGAAAAATGAAGCAACATTAGAAAACAACGAATTCTAAACACAGAAACTTATACAACAAGAAAGAAATTTGATTTAATTGCTCAGATCAATAAATATGTACTGTTCCCAACTGAAAAAATTCTATAAAGTTCGAAGCGAAACTAATTGAATCAAAAATTTTGAAAAGCTTTTACTTAAATTTACTTATTTTTAATCATTGCTTGTCATCGCAGAATATAACAGTCAGTAATTCAACTATTACTCACTTGACATCGCCTTCAATATTGAACGAAAGATCTTGTTCAATCTGTAATAAAATTTGTACCAGTTCTGCAATAAATATTGGCCAAAATGAAATCAAATTTTTATTGGATATTCTTAATAGTAGGACGCGGAAAAAGAGATACAACTGTGTATATAATATTGGTATTTGTGGTAGTTTAAGTAAATCAATAATGAATTCAAGTATTTCTGGTAAATATTGATTGCAAAGATCTTTATCCGACGCATAGATAACGAAAGCAAAACGTTTAATAAGCATTGCACGTTGTTCATATTCTTGTTCTTTTGAAACTAATAAACCTGTTTGAACTGTATTTATTTTATTCATAATATCCCGAAATGATATTGATTTCTCATCTGTGATCATATTATTGATAATTATTTTCCATGAAGTTAATGCTGATAAATCGACTTGAAAAAATCCTATGTCAAATAATTGTTCAAATACTTCTTTTCTCCATGTTTTTCTCGTATATGAATATTGTGATATATTCATAAGTAGAGTTGATGCTGAACGATACGATGGTGCACTTGATGCCACGTGTATACGAACATATGGCATAACATTATTTACAAGATTTTGTAAATAAGTTCCTATAATACGATCCTTTTCATCGGTTATATGATAAACAATATCCAATAATTTTGCTGAATATTCACTTAGAATTGTCAATGCCATGAAACTTGAAGTTATAGACGGTGAATTCTCTATAGGAAGCAATATTTAGTTTAGTTTTCTTTTCACGAAGAAAAATTTTTCAATAAACTAACCATCAAAATCTAAAAGACTTTTTTCAATACTTGGAGTACGATCGATCTCATAAGATGAATCAATAGTTGTTGGTTGAGTTCCTGGATCGGTTTGTGTCATACGTACTTGCAAATTTTTACGTAACCAATTTGTTTGTTCAAGTGATAAACCAACTATCGTAGTACAATTGTCAAGCACTTTCATTATCGTATCCTGTTGAAGAAATGAAAAATATTTTATTGTACGTGTGGGAACATGTCCTTATTCAAATTTACATTTTCGATCTCAAAATAAGGCTTGAGAAAAAATCATTTAATTTATTGATTATTGAATTTTTATGAAATCTAATTACTTCTAGATCCATTCAAATTCCATGTCGAGCTCCAATGAACTCTTCTATTCTGATATACTACTACATATTGTAATCAGGGGTGCAGAATCTGCCGAAAAAATACAAAATTTCCCCACACGGAAATTTTCTTTTCGGGAAATTTCCCCCACTATAAAATTGAATAATAAAGCAAGGAATTCTCGTTTAAGATGTAGGTATATCCTTAAAAAAATTGTCAATAGTCTATGACTTGTTCTTTCATAATTCTTGCCATTGATGTTCTAAGTTTCTCAAAAACCTACCGACTGTCTAAATATAACAGAAGCAGCTTATATACTTCATGTAAAGATTACAGAAAAAAATTGAATTTATCTATATGTACCAACAGGTGCTTCATATAACTCTTGTAGATTTAGCGTATCAACAAATCTAACACCACCTAAACTGCTTCGAANGGTTAGGGAAAAACAAAACGAAAAGAGGAGAAAACAAATAGCCGTTTTTGCATCATAGTTACGCCCAAGAAAGAGCGAAAGATAAACAGTAGTGCGACGCATCATCAGCGTCAAACAAAGAAGAATATACTGAAACCGTGAGTAAGAAATGGGTGATTCTTTCAAAATTTACATAAAATAAAAGAAGAGAGATGCATGATATGATCGATGAACATATAAATAAAACAAGATTCGTTTGGAAAAATACTTGCCCCTGCACGCTTAGAAGAAAAAATATTTTTCCAAAAATTTCCCCTGACACTTAGGTTTGCAAAATTTTCCCCACACGGCCGTACGCGCACACGGGTAGATTCTGCACCGCTGATTGTAATAGTCTTGATCTCGAGATCGAGACGTTTGTATATGTACATCATTAGTATGCTGCTTCATGTGCGAAAAACAAATTGGAACCATGTTTAAAACTTTTCTATGGTACATACCCCTAAGTCATTTAAATCTTTTTTATCGATAAGAAATAGAGATTGTTTGAGATAATAATTCAATATTCTACAAAGAAAATAAATGAAATTAATTAAAAATTAACTTAAAGAACGTTCTTTATGAACCTAATCATCAAGAATGTAACTGATGATGACATTGTTTGTGATAAACATTCTTTAAACATAATGGTTAATACTGGCCAACAATCAAAGCCAACAGTATTTTGATATTCGAAATAAGCTAAAAGAAGTTGAAGACACCAAATAACATAATTTTGTTTTTTCTGGAAGAAATCGATTAAGAGACAAAGAAAATTTCTATACAAATAATTTTACTTTATGATTAGTTTTCGATAAGTATCGTATAAGTGTATTCATATTATAAATGATATCATTGATTGCATAATTATTTATATTCATAAGAATATCGACCAAAGCTTCCATTTCATTAACATTGTTTGTTTGAATTGTTAAGAATTTTTGTTGTTGTTGTTGTTGTTTACATTCACCCCAGCACAATAGAATAGCACGAATAAATGCAACACCATTCGATTTTGTTAATGACGAAATAAATTGAATTATTTTCTCTCGAATAACTTTTGTATTATTCAATGGCCATATTGAATACGTTCGACTCATTAATACTGTTTTCCATATACGCAAAATACTGAAAAGAACTAACGGCAGTTTATGTAACATCGATTGACGAACATCAGATGAATCATTTGAATTATTTTTAATCTAAATATAAAATAAAGTTTTCAAATCAAACATAATTCTTATTTACTTTTTCTATCCAGTGTTGAGGACACAATGTTTCAGTAAAATGCTGTGTACTATTAACTGTACTACCAAGACAATAGTTGCATATGTATGAAATACGTTCAATTAAACAAATAATATAATCGATTGGATCAAATGAAGATGATCGTCTAGAACAAAAGGATTGCCATATCATTTTCTATTTTCAAGATAATTCATCTATCTGATCTTTACATAAAAACAGAATCGTAATGAAAATAATCCGCCGTAAAACAATAAAATTCTTTAGTATCTTCTATCTTCAGAGATCTAGAAAAAAACTGACCAACAAAGTATCTAAAGTGAACACTTTGTAACGTACTGCATATGTTCTGTAAGAATAGACGATTGTCAGCGAGATAAGCTATGCTATTTATTTCTGTATTTAAAAAAAAGAATTTCTTTTGCTATCAATCAAGTTTTCGTTAGTTTTCTCACTGTTTTAAAATCACAATGTCATTTACCTGTAAAAAAAGAAAGGCAGACGGACTACACCATTGCCTAAAAGATTCATATTTTAGTAAGCGTTAAATCTTACTTGAACGTTATTGTAGTTTCCTGTTGACTGTAGCACTCTGCAACAAAATTTAAATTTTGACAGAGCTGCTCAATCACTCGAATGCTTGTTGTTTTTAATGCTGAACCACAATGAGGTAATATTTTTACAACAAAACATATTATATAGGGATGAATTTCCATGCAATCGATTTGTTTTAAACACTGTAAAATAGTTGAAAGAAAAACAGTTTGATTAACAGTTAATTGGTCGTTTAGATTTGAATTTGTTGAATGAAAAATATTTTCAAGTAAAATTATTTCTTCGAATAATCGGATTAATTTTTTTAAATAATCTTTTGTTAGTTGACCATTTAAGGACTCATTTTTAAAATCATTCATTAATTTTGTTTTAGATAGATTCGAATCTTTATCAATAAACCTATTAAATAATGTTAAAACTATCTTTTGAAATGAAAGCTTTTCGAATAAATTCATTATATAATTTATTAACACTTTATTATCCATACAAAGACAAGATAGATCATGGCAAACATGTGTTAATAACATTAATGAACGTACATGTATGAGACGATTTTTTTCAATATCATAACCTTTTGGATAGTAACTGTATGTATAAATTAAAAGTATATTTAAAAATAAATATAAATAGGATTGACACTCTTGATTATTTTGATTAGTTAAACCAAATTCTTTTCCTTCAATGGAACGACAGTGTTTAAAAAATAGTTCATGCATTTGTTTATTATGTATACTAATTGGTGATGATTGAAGATTTGACGATATTAATAAAGCCTGAGTAAGTTGTTGCATAAGAAGATCAAACAAACTGTCGATTATATCTAACGATAACATTACACGATCATGATCATAAGTTTGAGTGTAAAGTAATATATAAGCGTATGGAAAGTTTTTTGAATCATCGAATTGCGATGCATTATATTCACTCATGAGATTACTATTTGACATAGAATGTGATTGAAATGAATGATTCATAATTGTATTTGATGTATCGATTTGAGGGATATTGTTATTTGATTCCGATAGAGTATTATTTCGATTGAATATATTTGGCATGGTCGGTGCACGTTGTTTAACTGATTTTAACAATGCTGGAGGCGAAAATGAAAGAATATTAGAAAGAATTGGTTGCGATAAACTTGTTATTATTGGAAATTTTATATTCTGAGGTGAAGATTTTGCATGATTAACAGATTCACTAGAACTTATAGAACTGATTGTACGAATCTATTAATAGTAATGAGAAAAAAAAATATAGTTTATATTATATTTCGATATAATTTGTTATTACTCGTTTATCTTTGTGAGTCTCTTCTACATAAGCGTCATCATCATACATATATTCATCCTCATAATTTTCATCATCAAAGACAACAGATGGACTAATTTCGCTGTTATCATTATTCTTATTTGAATTGATTAGTATTTGATCGTTTGTATTCAGTTTTTGATTAAGAAATAATTCTTTATTATGAATGATTGAATCAAATCTTTGCATACTAACTCGTGCTGTATCTGAATCCAAAAGCATGATAAGAAGTGTATCGAATATTCGACACATATCTCCTAGAAAATAGCTTTTAATACATCGGACTCGTTGCTTTCAACTACTTACCATGAATAAAACAATCATACGTCCATTGTTGTACGATGGATCTTAACTCATAATTCTTTGATTCTTTAAGAGTTCTTAAGACAAAAATTAAACAACGTTGAAATGATTTTGTAATAGGTTCATTTTTTAGATGAGGTATATCACGAGTTGAATTCCATAGTTTAAAAAAATGTTTATATTCATCAATCCCATTTGCGTCGAGTTCAGTTTGTGAACTCTTTATTAATGATAATTGATTATAGATTAAATCTTCACACAAGTCAGTTGGTAACATTGAATGTAGTATTGATAATAAATGTGAAGCTTTTAAATTATATTCTCGACCATATTTATCATTTAAATATTCCCAAAAATATGAAATTATATATTGAAAAAAATCAGTTTCATTTAGAAGTGCTAATATTTGTTCTTGCGTAAATGATGCAACTGTTAATAGGCTATTTTCTGTAGTATCTATTGATGTCGATATGTTTGTTGAAGCAGATAAACTTAATCTGTAACCAAATAATTCAATTAAAACAGACACTGCAATTGTTCGAAGAGATAAATGATCATTTACACACAAAGATAGAATATATAGATCCATTGCCCAGTCTTCAAATTTTATTTTACCTAAAAGAAAGAAAACAATAGAAATTAATTTGCTTTTGATTATTTTAATATGATTTTCATCAAATATATTTTCTTTACGAATCATAGGAAGATACATAATTATAGTGAAAATATCTGTGAATCTAAGAAAGGTGTTTTTAAATTGGAAAAAATATTTTTTTGTGATCATATTTAGAAATCAGAGAAAAAAGAAAATGAAGAACCAAAAAGCAATTAGAATTGGAATAAGATTATTTGTAAATAGACGAACAAAAAATTATATTTTCAGTGGCTAGTATAAAATCGCTTTACGACTTGAGCATAGATTTCGATCTTATTTAAATCTGTAACGCTATAAATATAAATCTACTGGTTTGTTGTAGAAATAAAATGACATGTCAGTTGTATCTTATTATTACAATTATTCTATTTAACAGACGCTCTCTAGAATTGTATGAGATCAATCGATTGGAATAATGCAGTAATTTCTACCTTTTGATAAAAATGATTTATCATTCAAAGAAGATTCCGTTGGATAACAAGAAAATTCAGTTAGTAATCTACAACAATCTTCAAAAGCTGTTACATATTGATCAACATTATCATTTAATATTAATTGAAATTGAAATTCATTTAATTGTCGACATCGATTAAAATATGATGAAAGGTTGCCATTGGTTTTATGTTGTATAACCGAATAAATACTTTGAAATTTATCATTTATCAATCCTTGATTTTGATCAATTATATGGGTGATAATAAACCGATGAAAAAATTGTTTATATAATTCTATTGTTTTTTCTATGTAATTCATTGATTCTGACATTGTGTTCGTTGATAGTCGACTTTGGTGTTTACTGGTCAATCGATTATCTAACTTGTCTAACTGTTTTTCAATTTTACATACCATTTGATTAAGTAGTTTTTGAATAACATCTAACTGTTCTTGTTGAACCATTAAATTTAGATTCTCTACGCAACTTATGTTATTTGAACATAATAATTTATTATAAATATCTATTGAATATTCATTATCATCTTCAGTATCACAATCGTCATCAAACATTTTATCTTGATTAGTACTTGAACGACGAAATATAGATAAATGAGGGTATGCGTTAGTGGAAACAGTACTTTTAAAAAGTTTTAATAATAACTCTAGAGACACTGTGATTTGGTTTGATGTGAATTTCTCAATATTATCATTCATTATTTGTATCAGATGACAAAGCATTTCAAAAAGATGTGTAGATTGAGTGCCAAGAGAATTTTCTAATGAAAATATATCTAATAACATATCGATAACACCACATATATGGTTAAGAGAAGGTCTAGCTGAAGGAAAACTGTCAAAGTGTTGTGGATTGATACTAATATCGAAATGTTTTGTTAAATATTCCCATATAAAATATGGTTCCAACGTATCTATAAGCACATTAAAAGTCTTCCATGCATCAGAATAATGATCATCGTATTGGTTAGTAGTAGATTTTAATTGTTTATTTGGACGGTATACTTGTTCATAAACAACAAGTGTATAATTAATGAAAATATATTCAATAATATTCGGGCCGATATCTGATTTATCGACTAAAACAAAAGAAATTCATTTCGAAAAATTACATGACAGAAGTTATGGTTTAGCTTAGACTAGATCTCTAAATTCCATACAGTTTAGCAGTTTTATAAAAATCGAAATCGTAAAAAATTAATATTTGAACTCTCAGGAGAATTGACCTTCATTTTATCCCCAGGTTTTCTGTATTTTAAATATGTATAGTGTAACATGGTGATCGTTTTAAAAAAATCGTAGTACTTCACTATTTAGTAATCGTATCTTTGTGATTCATCGAAAAATTAATCTTGAATAGTAAAGTACCTTTTAGCTTTTGAAATTTTTCTATATCAATTTTATTCAGTAGATATTAATGAACATTTTTCAAATGAATGATAGAGTTTGCTTTAAAAAAGCTATTCAGCGCAGTCCCTTTGGGGCTAAAATGTGGAACTCACGTACATCCTTGAAGCCTCGATAAACCAGTAAAAATGTATAAAATGAAAAATTTATCAGACTACTGATTTTTAAAAATAATTGATCATCACAGTAAAATCTCTATCATTTATTTTTACATTTTCAAAAGATTATTGTATTTTGGTTGGCATCCTTTTTTCCCTTTGCATTTTTTCTTCTAATTAATTTTTAATGTCTGTAATGTGGGGGAGGGAGAGCCGCAAAATTCTGCCCCTTAAATTTACACTCACTATTTTCTTCAAAAATATACGCGAGTTCCACAAACGTAGTTTCTTGTAGAGAGTCATTCCATTCACTTGGGCATAATTGATCGTTAAAAATTGTATTTTACTACTTACTAAGAATAAGAAGTACGCGAATTAATTTAGTTAATGTCCACGTAAATGATGGTAATGAATCCATAGTATTTTTAGGTACTTTACTAACTGTGCCATCTGTTTTAGCAACCATTAATATTGGTTGCAGAGATATTATTTCCAGTAAATTTTTCAATGATGCTACAAGAAGCTCTCTTGTATACGTAAGAAAGTAAGGTGACGAATCAATTGAACCATTAACTTGATAGTGTTCATCATTTCTAGTATTATCTCCGTCTAATTGATTTGCACCAAAAAACCACGTATAAATACGCCGACTTAATGGCATATCACGTTGCAGTAAAATACGTAATGTCCCGGCAATTAATTTGATCATATGTTTTTCTGTTAATTGTTTTTTATGCATTGGCAAACAAGTAAGAAGAAAATCAAGAATTGAACGTTGAACTAATGCTTGCCGACTATCATAAAGACATGTACAAATAGCAGATACCTAATGCAAAATAAAAAAATAATCATTTCCTTCATTGTTCTGCATACATATTTGGATAGTTTTTACCATTGTTTCAGCCGATAAGCCTATTAAATAGATTTGATCATTCATATTTTTTCTTTTATCAAAATGATTTAAAATGAATATTATTGCTGAAAAGCGTACCGTTGCAATCGAATGTATGGCTGACCATATACAATCATAAAAGTAAAATTCATCGATTCGTTCTGCTAAATTATTAAGCAATCGAATGACTCTATCGTAGTAATCAGCGCCTTCTTCCAATGCTGAAAATAGTCCAATTAGAAATCCTGTCAACACTGGATTAAGTGCTTCACCAAGAGGTAAAAAATATGTTTCATATAATGCTAATAAAGTGGGTTTAACAGGTAACGCAGCAACAGATAACAACGAAAATAACCCATATGAATATAGAATAAGATCACGTTGTAGATTATTTTTATCTATTATTCGAAAAATTGTTTCATAGACTTCAATAGTTTTTAAATGAACACCTGCTGGTAATGCTGGATGAAGACATTGAGCAAGACGTTTTGATAAAGTTATACGTTTTGGTATTGATTTAAATTGCGAATATTGTTCTATCGTCTGTGAAAACGAATGTTTTGGTTACCTTTTTTTGCAGCAAAGAATTTTTCAAGAAAGAACCCACATGAATCATTGCGAGACTTAAACATTTATTCTCTGCAAAAGCTTCAGAAGTATCACCATTTCTATGATATTTTTAAAATAAATGCCATCGCTTTTATAAAAAAATACCATAGAAGAAATGATTTTTCAATTTGAAATTGCATAGCTTGAACAGGAATTAATATTCTATGAGCTATATATATATGTTGTCTCAGTACTCATTTCCTGAGATATCTACAGATGAGAATCGAAGCAAATAAAACGATTCGAGCTTTTATTATAAGCCAGTTTCGCGAAGATCTCTCTTTATCTCAATTTTTAAGTTAAAATTTGAAAATCAATTTTCTGTTCTTTCTGTGGGTGACTCTGAAATTCATCGATAAAATAATGTCAATTTGCATCAGTCAGTTACCAACATGAACTATAGTCAAAGCGTTCATAGCTCGTTTGGGTTGACATAAATAGTTGATGGAGTTTCACCCTATAAATGATGTGTCAGTCGGTGATCTTCTTTAAATGTGACATCATTTGACGAATAAAACATCCTAAAGAACTTGAGGATGTTTCCTTTTCCATAATAGTGACTCATCTAACAGCAATGAAATTTTCAAATTCTATTCATACTTGTATTAGATATAGTTACCGTTCTATATCGCACGGTACATGTTTGCTGATAGAAGAATATTTTGAATCCTAATTTTGTGTTTTTTCCAAGTTATCGATTTTACAATTCATTTTCTTTTTTACGAAAATGAAACAAATTATTCTGTTCGATATTTTATCGCGTTCAATGTAAGAAATAGCTTGTAAAGTGGATTCATATCAAGCTAGTTGATCTTCTGTTTTATTACACTCGCAGTTCTGTTTCTTAATAGCATAAGCAAAAAGCAATCGTCTTTTTATAAGCAATTTGATATTTTATAAGCATGAAATTCTTCGATACAATCTTACTTTTTTAACTTTAACTAAATTAGTGATGAGGTCAGCCCATTCAACCGATGACTCAAAATGTTTAAGAGCTTTTTCAATCGCTACAATAAAATTTTTATATCGACTATCGTTTCCTAACATCACTTCATCATCCAACATTAAACTCATCTTTTTCAATCTGAAATATTTGCGAAATTATCAACAAAATGTTATATCAAGAAAAATAAATAAATATTTATATTTCTGGTAGGATATCAGTCACTAGAAAACCATGTTCTATGCTATAATATGATGATGGTTGATATTGTTCACAACTCCATTGTGATGTTGATGATTATGTTATAGGTAGGATCATTTTTAAAAGATCAACATAAGAAGTAAAAGTGCCTGAACAATGTTGATTTACACGCATAACCAAGTCTTCATTCAAACTAATATGTAAGGAAGAAGAACTCGACGCAAAACATGCTTATAGTTGAATAATAAAAACGATAAATAAATGTTGCAGGTTGTGTTAGTATTCACCTTTAAAATAAATAGAGATATGATATTGCAAAATCTGAATTTATCTTCATATTGTTTTATTGGTCAATGCGTGTCTCCAATAATATCATTTTCTATCCAAATATAATATAATATATAATCAATGCGGAGAAAAATGATCTAATTGACCAAGAATATATTGAATTGCTTATAAAAATTACGGCGATTTTAATGAGTTCCATGTTAGCAAGGGAATCCCTCGATGTGGCACCTTCGGTTTAGACTTACATTCGGTTCACATTGACAAGAAAATCTTGACGAGGCTAGCACAATACACTGTGAGGTTGTGTTGTGTGGCACATCGTTACCGTAAAGTTACAATTATTCAGGCGGATATTGCTGAGCTCTGGAAATAGTGGGATTTCACGAGGACCCACAGAATAAAAATACCTAATCCGAAATGAAAGGGTGAAAGGTCGACGCAAAATTTTGACTCGCAAAGGTTTGGCATTTTCCTGACGATCGAACATCAATGTAAGCGAGACAAAGCAGGAATATGGCCGAAAACCTCCTAGTCAACATACTGCTTCCACCTTCAGGTTTCGCCGCTAGTTTCATTTCGTAATCTGATCATACTAATTGATCTGAGTGTCTAAATGTATTTTGCGGCGTAAAATATTGCCAATTATTATTCCGAAGGTGGTCTGACGATCTCAAGTATTAAAGAGATAGAATCACACAATTCGATATGGTATTTTGAACTTTAGAGGTTTTTGCTCTTAGGTATGTATATATTTTTTTTTATAGTTTCTTCACCAGGTTGTTTTTAAATTCATGCTTTTGCTTCGTCACCATTGCCCAATGTAGCGTCTTCAACCTACCATTTTCACCTATAGCTTTATCTGATGAATCGCTTTCGATTTGTATTCATCGAGTTGATGATATAAATTGTTTAAGACTGTTTTCAATTGCTACAATAAAATTTCTATATCGACTCTTATTTCCTAACATCGCTTTATTATTCAATATTATATTCATGCTTTTTATCTAAAACATGTTTGAAAGTAATAACAACAAAACAAAATATTATAGAGAAAAACAAAAACACATATTTATATTTCTGGAAGAATATCAGTTACTAGAAAGTCACATTCTGGACTGTAATATGGTGACTGTTGATATTGTTCATAAGTCAATTGTGATGTTGACGATGTTGTAGGTAGAATCATTTTTAAAAGATCAACATGACCATTAACAATGCCTGAACAATTTTGATTTGCACACATAATCAAGCCTTCATTTAAACTTATGTAATAAAGACGAACTGGATATAAAGCATGATTAGTTGAATAACAAAAACGACAAACAAATGTTGCAGGTTGTGTTGGCATTCACTCTTGAAATAAATAAAGTTTTAACTGTTCAAACCAAAATACGAAAATATTTGCTTCTTACTATCTTATTGGTCGATACATTACTCCAATAGTATAATTTCCTATCACAATCAGTCAGTCAGTCAATACGTTGTCCATCAATCATTTATACAACTATCGTTCGATAATAAAAACACAATGGTGATAACATTGATACCCCCAATTTGGTTAGAGCACAAACTTACTATTAAATTTCTTTTTGAAATTTTCTTTTTCTTTAAAGGACTGATCGTGATGATTGTTTTCGTTGTCGTACATCATTCTCTGCATTCACACGAAAACATCATTGTCGTGCTTGTGGCGAAACATTTTGTGCAACATGTTCGTAATTTGTTGTCGATCGATCACATAACTTTGATTATTGCTTTTTTTAAATAGGCTCATCAAAACAATGTCCTTTGCCTGAATATGGCATTGAAGATGACGTCCGAGCTTGTATAACATGTTATGAGCGTATTCAAGCGTAGGATAACTTATAGAAATATTGATTTTAATAAAAAAAAAAAATCGTTGTTGTTTTCTTGTAGGACAGGTAGCATACGCCCACAATATTTATCAATAGATAAAGTAAAAGAAAAAAATCAAGATGAAGAAGATGCACTTCAATTAGCATTAACATTATCTAGAAGTGAAGCTGAAGAAAAAGAACGTCAAAAAAAATTATTAACTCAAAAATATGCCAATTCAACGAATCAATATCCACAATTTCCAATCAGCTCAGCGCCTATAGCCGATGATGATCATCAACAAGTTTATTGGGAAAATCAAACTAAAAATGATCTTATTACTATTAAACCAATAGCAAAAGTAATTTAAACAAAAAATTATAACTTTTCAAAATATTATTTTTCCTTATCATAGGATCCACTGGATCCATTTGTACGTGATGATGATATCGATATTTTTGTTAATAATGTCAATGAACATATAAGCAATATCAAATTTCGCATGTTAAGTAATCAACAACGTGGAAGAAACATAGCCAATGATACAGCTGTACAATCCGTATTTATTATGCTTCAACATATGTATCCTGAATTACATCATTTAATCAAATTACTTGACGATAAACAAGGTTTGACTTATTTATCGATAGCAAAATAAAAAATTTCTACTTTCTTTTTTCGTTTAGCTTATTATGAAAGTTTACAAGATAAATTAAATCAATTAAAAGATGCAAGAGAAGCCTTAAATGCTTTACGTGAAGATAATATTGAAAATAAAAAACAACAAGCTTTAGAACGCGAAAGACAGCGACAAATACAATTAGCTCTTAAACTTGATGATATGCGTCACAAGAAACAAGTAAATTCGTTTGCTATAAAAAAAACTAAAAATAAACTCATTTTACCGATTAATCAATAGGCTTATTTGGAATATCAAAGACAACTTCATCTGCACCGTTTGACAGAACAAGAAGCAGAAATGCAAGCAAGACTTAACCAGCAACGATATTATATTCAACAACGTGAACAACAAAATCAAGTATTTCAGAACTTTTCCATTGATATTTTGTTTCCTTGCCGATTTAGTAATGTGAATTCGATTTTTCGCATATGTGGTGTTTCTCGAATATTTAATACTTAGAGAGAGAGAGAGAGAGAGAGAGAAAAGGATTCTGTTTTTTAGTAAACAAATTTCCTGTTGAGAAATAAAAAATACTGACTAATTCTTAGATGTTGTTCTAAGCTAGCAATATATATTTCATTTGTTTGAGACAGTTTCTAGGATACATGTAAATTGAATATTTTTTTATTAGCTACCATACATTGCACCGGCTCCTGGTAGTTATTATTATCCAGTAGCTCCTCCGTTGTCGATGACACGTAAGTTGATACATACAAATGAAACTAAAATACGATATGAAAACTATCTACGTAGAAGTAACAAATGCTCTTCCCTCAGTTGGGCCAACCGTATTACCTCAAAATCAAACTTTTTATTCTCAACAGAATCTTCCACAACATCCACCTGTATCAACACCAATGCCACCCAATAATGAGCAAACATTAATAAAATTTGATTAATTTGAACTTATTCGCGTACCTTATTTCTTTTAAATTATCTATTTTCTTTTTTTGTGCAAATTTTGCTATTGATTTTCTTTTCCCAATTTTACTCAATGAAATATCTCAAATATGTATCTCAGTTGTAAATAAACATTTTTTTCAGAAATAATTTTATGGCTTCGAATCGTCCCCCATTACCAATTTATTCTCATCTTATAACGCCAGCTCGTCGTACAAATACATTTCAAGGTGGTCAAAGACCATCGAATATAATCAAATTAGCATCATCAACAGTATCACTAAATGAAAATGATACACCACTGAATAAAACACATCTATTTTCTCCAGTTGTTAATTCACAATCGCCTTCATCATCAAACGATCACCTTCTTAAATATGATATTCGAAGATTGCGTGCTAGTCTAGAACGTAAAGAAGAACAAATTAGTTGGTGGATGGAAAAGTCAAAAAATGATAATGAGAAATTCGAAGGTATGCATTATTATTCGTGAACAATGATCGAAGAAGTGTTAAGTAGGCATTTGCATGTTCTCCATCAGGGCTCCTAATGGGATGGGATGGGATGAGTTCCTAATCCCATGGGAAATGTGATTATGTTTTTAAAGAAAAATTATTATTCATTTATGTTACACTTGACAATAGGTGAAAAGTGTGAATACTATCATTCTTTTTCTGTACTGGTCATTAACCCAACTCCGAGCTCTATTCGAACAATTGAATAAAGAATACGATAAAACATAGAAAACAGAAATAAACATAAATGTTCTTTTTGTTTGAATGTTTTAATAAAATATCATCATCTTTTGTTTTATAAATTGTTCAATATCACCTTCTATAATTATTTCTTCCTCATTATCGTCCTTAGTTTCGGATAAACAGGAATGTTCAGTTGAGAAAGTCAAATTTCGTTTACAATATCACAAGCAGAATTAAAAGGTATTGATAATGATATTCCAACCAGTAATGCACCAATTTCTAGTACATGGTACGATAGATAAAATTTTTGTCTAATGTAGGAGGCAGTTGTCCTTTGATTCCGTTCCATATATCAGCCAAGATCATCTTTTTCGATCTATGAAAAACTATGATCCAAATTTATTAAAGATGAAAAAGCGTTTTTGGATTTGACTCCCAATTCCAAGTTTCAAGTCGTTTTCCGTCAAATTCTGCCAAATCCAACCTAGTTTCAAACTTTCAATTTGCATTACACAAATCCTAAGAATAGATTTGACAAAGCGTTCAAAACTAAACAGAAAAATATGAAGAAAGAGATGTTCAATCGATAATTCTCACTAGCGCGCACGTCATTTTCAAGTAGGGAAAAGATCGAATCCCGTCAGTTTTTTGAATTTTTTATCCAATGTTTACATGTTCTCAGCATTGGGAGTTATGGATTAAGCCTTTTTACTTATTTTTTTTCTGTTCAGTTTAGAACGTTCTTTTCAAATCTATTCTTAGACTTTGTGTAATGCAAACTGCAAGTCTGAAACTGAATTGGATTTGACCGAAAACGACTTGAAAATTCAAATTCAGAGTCAAATCCGAAAACTTTTTTTAATCTTTCATAAATCTCAGCTATCGTTTTACATAGAGCAAAACAATGGTCTTGATTGATATATGGAATCAGAGGACCGCTCCACTCTACATCAGGCAAAAATGTCATCTTTCTTGCAATGTACTAGGAATTGGGTGTATCCCTAATTCCAATATTCAAATCGGAATGCTGGAAAACTTCGAATTTCCAGTTACAAAAAAAAAAGAAACCTTGATTTTCAGTAAGATTTTTCGTAATATAGCGAATCCCATGGGAACCCATGGGATGGGATGAAAATTATTTTGTGCTAAATCCCATGGGATGGGATGGGACGACTTGCATTATCTCACGAGACGAAAATTTCGTCCCATCCCATCCCATTAGGAGCCTTGTTCTCCATCAATTCATATGACTGATGTTACCAGGAAAAGGTCACACACATACACACTCTCGAAAATAGCTCATTCAAGACGTGATTGGCATCTTTGACAACGTATCTCGTTTATTATAGATCGCGGCATATATGAATATAGAACGATTACAGACAAGCTATAAATAGCATCTCATTAAAATATACAAATTAGCCTCTTATTAAATTTCTGGAAGATTAAGTAAAACGCAACTTCACTAATTATCAGCAACAACTCGAACGTGTTTTATATGCGTGTGTCTCAATGGTTGCACTAACAAGTGTAACTCCTAGAAGATATAGCATTAAGAAAACCTTAATTCTGTTTTTGACATATATTTTTATTTTTTTAATCAACATATAAATAGTATAAAACTATTTGTTGGATGTTAGACGAAAATAAATAACTTAATTGAATTTGTGTTCAATTTTTAATAGATCGAATAATCTTTTGTTTATTATTCCGAAAGTATTCTGTTGTACGAATTTTCATAGAAAGATTTTCATCTTTATTTAAAAAAAAGTAAAAACAGACATCACTTTCTGAAACTGACGAAATATTAAAAGAATTCTTACTTGGATTATAGACTACTTTTGATTATTTTCAATTATGTTAGATGATAATTAAATTAAATTAATATTTGTATTCATTACTGAATTGCAGAGAAAGAATCTTAACACTTCGTTAAAATACTAAAATTTCACCGAGTCAGATCAACGAGTGTATTAAAGATGCTCTACATATTTTCCTTTTTACTTAGTTTTTAGTATGTAATATTTGACGCATTTCTGCATAATCACGATTTTTAATTGACATTCTATTAGTTTTATTTTAAACATTAATTTTGTTTTGAATAAAAAAATAGTTCGAGTGCGCTCCGGTTTTGCTCTATATATGCATGCCTTTTATTAGGAAAGTTTTCTGCTCTATTTTTATAGATAAAATTAAAAAAGATATACTTTTTCAGGTCATAATTATGACTCATATAAAACAACACCATGGCAAATGACCTTGAAAAGAAAAATATGTGTGCCAGTTTTCTAATGTCTTATGTTTGAACTCCACTGATCCTACACAAGCAGAGATTTAAGTGGATTTTTTCTCACTGATCTTAGCAGCAAAGTGATCATTTTTTTAATGAATTTTCGATGCCAAATACTTTTTAACAAGGTTTGAAATAATCGATAGGCTATGCTAAAATTTTCAACTGCAAGAATAGCCTTTTATGACAAACATTTTCAAACATGAAGTTTACTTTTGTTAGATTTTCTTGAATCCTACTACGATATACTTCTGGATGGGCTAACTATGAGTATTGTTACACGAGAGATATGTAAGGCAATTGAAAAGTTCCCCGGTGCCATCACTTCATTTGCTAATCTATGTTATTTATCTATTCGTTGAGTATGATTGTGAAATTCTAAAAATGGAAATGTTTTTATTTTCTTCTAGTTTTAAAATCTAAATTAGAACAAACAAATCGCCAACACGATTTAACATTACAATGTGTTCGATCAACACTTGACGGACTAACATGCATGAATCGATCAGTTAATGTTATATTTATGCATGAAGATAAAGAAAATAAATTGTTTGATGATGAACAAGAAGAATTCAATGAAACAGATGTCGATGAAAATATATCTCTAGTGCTTTTATCACGTTTGAATGATATTTGTATAAAATTAGCAAAAAATATTGATTTATTACTTCGTACACCACTTTCGTCGGGTGTATCCTCAATAAAACAATGTCATTCTGTTCAACGGCACGAGTCAAATGCTTCGTCTACATCAAAACAATCTACAGATGATGTTCATGATACATCTAATGTTGTTTATGAAGAAATTATTGACAAACTACATAATGATCTTGATTTAATGAAAATTCGTATGGCAGAACATCAACTTCGAACGTATGTATACAAGAAACTTGTAACCTAAGCTCTGTTGAAGTATCAAAAATTCTAAAAGAAAAAGATCTCATAGTAATTAAACTGCAAGATTATGCTATGCAAGTCTCGCAAATAGGATTTTCTAACAATTCAAATAATAATATTTCAACTGCAAAGAAAGTTTTTTTTCACACGAATATTCTAGAATTTCAATTATCGGTCGAGTAAAGCGCGTGAATGGAAATTTTCACGAGATTCTACTTAAAACTAAGCTTCTACTTTGCCAAGATGTCAGATTGAGATAAAAAGCGCTTAGCTTAAAGTCTAAGTAAATGTCGTTGTCTTGAAATGAGTGAAATATCGAACGCATTTCTCTAGCGTTTTTCATGGTTCATTTGGACCTAACAACTTATGTACAGAAGCCAAGATCAAATATGAGTTTTTACTTGCAATGAAAGTCTGCTCGTACGATGCTGATGTAATTTTTTTTTAAACTCGATTTTTTCCTTTTTGTTCGAACTGAGCGTAGTCAATCGAAAAATTATAACTAATCAATTCGATACAACTATAAGTGAGCCTAGATAAATCTGTACATAACAGTATTGCTCTGTATTAATTAATAAGGGTTAAAGTAAACTATTTTCATAATTGATTCATCTAAATTCTTAATTCTTGTTGTAACTCTTTAGAAAAAATCTTGAAGAAGAATTAAATCAATGTAAATCAGCTCATCTATCAGCAAAAATAATATTTGATATGCAAGAAAAAAAACTTCAAGAACAACTAATACTCAAAGATAAACAAATAATATCCATTGCCACCAATGTACGCCTACACTTTTTTCTTCATCTAACACTGTCAAAGTTCAACTGTATTTTTTTCCCATAGGAACACGATGTTCTACGACAGTTATTAGATGAAAAAACTACTGCAGTTGAGCGTTTAAATGGTACCTCTAAAATATTAAGCAAATTGTTTCATCTCTTTTATTTCTATTCCAGAGGAATACGAATTGCTAATGACTAAGTATCAAAGTGAATATAATCGAAATGTTGATTGTATGATAAAAGCCGATGCATTACATGGACATATTCGTTTATTAAGTGAAACATTGGCGGCAAAAGAAATCAACGAAGAGAAATTAGTAACACAACAGCAACAAATGAAGAAACTTATGACATTGCTTGTTCCAATAACACCAACCTCAGCAATGAGTAAAAAACAGAATGATAAAAAAGTAAGAGAAAATTAAAATTTTAGATAAGATCTAGTTTGATTGTTTTTTATTTGAATATTTAGACATTTGGCCGTAAAGTTAAACGACATCTTCGTGAATCATTTTCATCTCTTGTAAATCATAAGCAAACGTCAAATAATCAATAAATTTCGTGTCAGATATGTGCAGTAGATATACGATTATTAGCATTTTTTGTTATTGTTGTTTTCTTTCTTTTTGTAAAGCAATTTTTTGTTAAAATTTATTTGTGACATGAAATATTATTAATAAATAAAGAAAAAAAAACTTCGACTAGATTGAGCGATTTTAAAATTCTTACGCAAAATTGAACGTACCTCGTACCAAAATCTGCACACGACTTTGCTCTGTCAATTGTCATCAAACACGATACACGCATGCACATGATTGCTGTCGAATAATCATATAAATAAAGTTTGCCTTTTATTACATAATTGTCATGGTGACATTTGCCCAACAACGTTTTCTGTCTGCAGACGTCATTGAAACAATGATACCTATTGACATCAGCAATTATTCATCATTCGCTTAAAACTAACAGCTGATTTAATATTTTAAAGCAGAATTACATGTGAGATGTTTGTTCATTAAAATGTTCAATGCAATAGTTTATGTGTTTGTAAATAAGACTTTTTGTTCTAAATAGTTTTTGTCGTTTTATTTACCATGATGTGACTATAAAAGATTATTCTGAGTGTTTGTCAATTTTCGTAGTCTTTAGGTTTCCTTTTGTTTGAACTCGTATCATCCATCCTATTTCTCCCCCGCATAATTTGCTATTTTTAGATACACTTGCATAATTAATTTTCTAAGAATTAAATAAAATATTTTCTATTCTGTATCGCCGTTGTTCTGAAATACAATTATATTAATCAGTATTCTAATCGATAAAGACACAACTTAGTACTCCGCCGCTCCATTGGCCAGAATAACATCGTTGCGTGTTATTTTTAGATGGAAAACAGACAGGACATGACAAGACTTCAATTGTGCATTATAGAGCAAGATAAATATATTAAAAGAAACAGTTGGCTCACGAATCATCGTAATATTTGCGATTCTGCGAACTACTCCATGGATAATTGGAACCGATCGCAAGTATAATTGTTATTTGGTTTGTGGGCGTTGAGAAGAATAGCGTGACCTTTCAGCATCAGCTTTTTCCCTATCATAAATTAGTTTTATTTGTTCATATGAAAAATCCTCACACAAATTAGCTATAAAAACAAAGCGCACCTTTCGTATAAAATAATTAATAGAAACAAATCAATTTATCATTGAATTTCGTATTGAAAACCGTTACTCTTTGTTTTTCAGTAATTGATACTGAAGCGTTGAGTACACAGTATATAGCAGAAGAAAAGTGATGCCATCGTTTCATAATAGTACTTATATCGACAATAAGTAGTGACAAAAGAATCAAAAGTTTCAAGTTTCTCTTTATATTTATTAGGAACAATTAGATACATTCTTAAAACATATTTAGTATCTATTAGACATGAGAAAATTTGCATTTGCTTACATCGCATACAAGCAACTTTATGTTCAGATTGATTTGTATAGTAATTTCAAAAAGTTAATATTCGAATTGAAATTCTCTAAGCAAGCAAAAGTCGTCTGCAATGAATCTATTGATATATTTTCTTATTTGTTTTCCCAATGAAGCATATGAATGTCTTAATAAGAAGTCTAAGGTTGCAATCATAATTATTGTCAAGCAAATTATGACATTAGTCGAATATTTAATTCTTCAATTGTATTGATTCTTTTTGTTGTTGTTGGTCATCTTACTAATGGACATAACTAACTCCCAAATGAATAATATATTTCTATTGAATATGATGAGTAACACCAAAACATATTTGCCTAGCAATAGTTTGTAATTACCCAATAATTTCTGGACTGACGAAAAATATATGACGTGTCTCGGATATTATTCATCAATTATTAAGAATTATAACTTTCAAATTGTTGATTAGTCGACTTGTTTTCGTTTGTGAACGCAATATTTTTAAGTAAAATATTCATTGTATGGTTTCTGTATCAACAAAATTCAGCGTCTAATGCTTCGATACCTTCAATATTTAAAAACTAATATTGACTTTCTATTAAATCATGGAGCTCTTCAGATTCCTTTTCTGAATTGAAAAGATTCATTTTTTTCTTGGAGACAATATATTTGTTTTTTTGTTTTAAATAAATTTACAATAACTGGCAAATATTGACAACATATACAATCAGAAAAATACGAAGAATAAAATGTAAGACACAACAATGACTTTTTTTTTAGATTTTTTGTTTCAATTTCGATCACAGTAAAACATAAATATGATTAAGACAAGGAAAATAAAATAAAGTTCGATGATATTTTCAATAACTATATTCATTTGTGAGTGATCATAATAAATAGATAGGAACAGTAGAATATTAAGTTAATAAAGGATTCACCGGTCGTACAGAAACTAACCTTGCGAAATCTATATCTTTATCAAACGTTGATATTCTTTATAAACAAAAAGTTTGTTTAGTTGAATAGACCAGTTATTCAATTTGTTTTGAAGGTTGAAATACGATTTAAATATTTGGATTTGCTTTTACTAACTTTTTTGTGCTTCACCGTCGAACATTTATCGTAACCAACTATATCAATATAGAGATTTTTTTGACATTGAGCCATTAATAGAGAACAATAACTTTTATATGAATTTCCATTATCACCACATACTCGTATCTTCGTACTACATTCTCCACTATGGAGAAAAAATCCGGATGAATACTGACAACGTATGCAAACTGGACGAAGTTCTTTAGAATATACACAGCGTTCATCTGGTTTACATAAATCTGGTCGACATGAATTTTCTATTTAAAGTTAGACATTAGAAAAAAAACGAAAAAAAACATTTTTTTGCATTCATACCACAAGGACCTTTGTGAGCCAATTCTGGTGTTTGACCTTGCCGATTTGGACTTAGACGCATAACACAAATATTGGGATATGTAATACCATTCGTTCCACAGACTGGCTCGGGACTTAGTGCCGGTTTACAATGAGTTTTTGGGTAGCATATTGGTTCACCTGTGTTTTTAACTAATAAACAGACTGCATCATGTGGACATCGAACATTTCGACAATCCTCTATAGAATAAGAAAAACCAGATAGCACGATAAAATTTTCTTAAATTATTTAAATACTGACTTTGACATTCACCATCATATTTTTTATATAGTGCTGACTGTTGATTAGAACATTTCCAAGCTGCCATTGCACATTCCGTGTTAAAAGTCATATTGTTTGACCCACACACGGGCTGTTGTTCAATATTTGATGAAATACATGATGCTTCACTACATACACACATTTCCTTACCGTTTATCCATTGGCATTCTTGACCAAGACCACAGTCGAAGTCACATTCTTTTAGTAACACTATTATATTATGATATATCAATATCTTTATCTATTTACATGCATAACGTATTCGACTTTTACGTACCATTTACATCACGACAATTGTCGGCATATACATAACCATCTAGTTCTTGGATATTATCATCAGAATAGAAGGTTCCAGTACATAATTGTTCATCTGTATTTGCTTCACTTAGATCATGACATAGATTATCGATGCGATGGAAAAAACAATTACCAGCTAAATTAAAACAAGAAAATTCACATGAATGAAAGCTCAAACGATAACTTGTTGAACTCGAGATTTATTTATAATGACTGTTTTGTTTTTCAAAATAGGAGAGAAGATATCACATGCTCTTTTATTCTCATATACTCTAATGAAAGTCATATAAATTTCATAACTTTTACTTGATCGTATTTCTTTTCGTATTGCTCTTGATCTGTTGTATTCACTCCTGGTTTTTAATTACTGTTAAGCTTATTATACATATACGCATTCAAGTCCTAAATATGGATGATGTGCGTTAACAAACACATTAGGAACAAATTATCATAGAAAATACTTGAAATGTATTGTTTTTATTTCAAAGTACTTGAATAAAAACAACGCATATCCGACATACCTTGTACAATGGAAATATTTTGATCAAATACATTTGTAACTATTACGATCAGAATCAATATCTGGGACAACGAAGAAAATCGCATTATATGTAAATAAGATGAGTCAAAAGAATATGTTTTTGATTTAGAATATATTTGTATATTGGTTATAATATTGATGCCATATATTAGAGTACAATCATTAGGGAAGAAGAAAAAAGAATGAAGCAAAAAAATAATTTTTATGGGAAATATACGGCAAAGCATAAAAGAAAAAGAGAAAAAAACGGAGAACGTAGAGAGAGAGAGAGCGAGAGAGAGACAGACAGACAGACAGACAGACAGACAGAGAGAATTCGAAAGCTAGTCAAATTTAAAATATGAATTCATAGAATATAACACAAAGTAAATTTTTGACTGTGTAAAAATTCTCCTTCTTGACTCATACTATTACAATATATAATACAAAGTGCGTCTCTGTTTACTATGCGTCATGTTTACTAAAAGCTCTTCGATACATAATCGCAGCAATAAAAACAAATGCAATTCTCATTCTTAAATTATTGCAGCGTTTCCTTTCTTTTATTCGATTCTTTGTTCCTTATGCGTAAGCTCTTTTTCAGCCCACTATCACAGTGTACTTAACTTGATCTATGCGTAGGCGATTACGAGCGCACCATAATTGTGTCTCTTTCTGTATCTGCATAATGAAAATCTTATTAATCGTGTTCAGAACATTTGTATTTAGATGCATTGTTTCTATTGAAAATATTTAGAAGCTACTGGTTCAGTGCGAAGAAATTATGTTTTGCTTTTGTTTTTCTTTCAATAGTTAATATCAAATAATAGAATAATAAGTAGCTTTTTTTGTTCGAAAATTACGTATTTAAATCATGGGATCTTAAAAATTGTTTCTCGCAATTTTTTCCATCACTTTTATACAATAGAAATAGGAAGAATAAGCGCTAGTTTACGCTAATAAAGACAATAAAAAGAAAGATAATAGTGATTCATACTGTTACATTGTCTAAACAAATAGAATGACGTCCGTGTAATAAATTGCTTCTATTTTTCAATTGAGATTTTAGTTTTCTCTTGTGGTCAAGTTAGTCTATTGGATATAAAATATTTCAAACGATAGACATATTAGCATGGGATAGCGAAGATTCGTAAATACCGATGCTAACTAACTTTTATGTTCAAATAATGTTTTATTTTCGTCGCCATAACTATTATTTTTTACAATTGTCGTATGTTGTGTAATATGCAGTTAAAAATTTGTCAGCCAACACGTTAATGATGAAGAAAAAATAAATTCGTGTATATGAACTTATTTTAATGAAATATTTCATGTCATCAAGAGACATTGATATTTCATACATAATAGATAAACGCTTTGCATTAGCGGTGATCCCACAAATGCAAAATGCTGTGGCATGCTGTTTTTGTTTTGTTTTTTATCCTCTACTGCTTTATTTTCTTTGTTTATCAACTATATTCTTGATTTAGTTGATTTTACTAGTTCTATCTAGTTGAAAATCTGTATACTACAAAAGTATTCTTTGTTGTAGATCTAACAGGATACTATTTTCTTGAAAAGGAGTCAAATATGACAAAAAAATCGTAATTATAGACGAATTTCCTGCTTGTTTTCAAGTGTTTTTTTTATATCAAAAAGTTGAATAATCAAAGACAGGAAGTCTAGCTCTTTATTTTATGGTAGATAATGTTGTAGTCACAATTATGTTATAGAATTAAATCCGCGTGGTCCAAGTTTGAATAATAAGTGTAAGAGGTGATCAAAACTAAAGAAAGAAACGACTACATGATGATTGATATTCAAAGTGACATTATCAACGCTATCAAGAGAACACGATAAGAAGAATAAAAGCTCTACATATCAAGTCTCAACTAAATCAAACGAAGAATATTATGCAAAAACTTGATGTACTTAATCAAATCATAGAAAACGTCTATATTTAGAGCGAAACAGGATTACATTATTTTATAGAGTAGATTATCATGAGTCATTGGTAATGGGAATATAAATGTTTATGTAGTAAACAAGCTGAATCATAATTGTCAAATGACGCATTTGCTATTTGATATATTTTATACGACTCTCTTTTTTATATTATTTTCAATGGAATGACATTTAATGAATTCATTTTCTTTCAATATTGTGTCGACTATTTCGATAGACATCATTGCTATGCATAAGTTGAAGCATCGATATTTTTTGCTTTCCTTGATAAATCCATTCAATCTGAATTTTAACATTCAAATGACGTCAAACATCTCTCGCTCTCTAAACATTCTTCAACGTCATTGATTGCCACAAACAGAAGTAGTCTATTTACAGTAAAATAACGCAGATGTCATGTTGTCAGACTTGTTGATGCGCGTATAGTTCAATTAAAACTTTTTGATTCCTTTTTATAGAGCGATAATTATAAAATTATACAGGAACAAACTAGATACTCAGCTTATTTTCGGAAATACTTTAAAAGAACCAGACGTTTGTTGATACTTATCTTTTTTATAACATGCTAATGCCTGTTTACTCATTTGAAAGTGCATGACTCAAATTAACGACAATAAATATTAGCAAAACTACTCATAGAGTATTTTTTTATTATTAGCAACATAATTTATATCATTGTAGGATAGTTGAAGACAATTATAATACTGTCAAAGAAGATAATAAAAGCAGATAATAGTCATCGAATGACGAATGAATTTACTGCATTAAATACCCTAGTCGCAATCATTATTTAAATGTAATTTAATTAATCGGAGCAACCGATTGTTATTGTTTCTTTTTTATTGTTGACTGGCTATAAAGATAGTTATTATGTTAATTAACATAATCTATTACAAAATTAATATTGTCTTATGGTAGCAGTGATAAACATCGCCAAACACATGATTAAACTTTTTCCAGAAGGAAAATTATATACAAAAGCCATGCATTGCTATTTTTGAATAAGGTGTTCACAGAAGCGATGATCAAAAGAAGACGTCTAAAACAAAGATTTTCGATATTCACATTAAAAAACGAGTACAATATGTTTTTTAAATTACTCTTCTTATGGAAGATAATTTTTGTGTTGACATTTTTTCTTGCATTTGTCGTTGCCATGCTTGTTTAAATAATTAATATATTAAATGGCACCCTTTATGACATGAATCAAATATAACCTAGGAACATATTTATAGAAATATCAATGTTTTCGCTGTTACCTATTTTGCTAATTATATATATGCAAATGTTGATAGTTTTATATGTCAGATTTTGACTTGCGAGGGAACATTCTCAAGTGATTTGCGCCGTTTGGTCTCATATTTTGCTCATAGGAAGGATCCAATGAGACTAGGAAAATCCTAAAAGATTTCGTGCCATTAGGTCTTTCTTTCAAAGTTATGACTCTTTTACTGAATTTTCGACCTTGGATAAGGGATTTATAGAAAAACTGTATGAAGGAATTTCAAACTAAAATTTTGTCTAACAATAGGTCTCATTGGTGTTAGAAGGTTCCAAAACTTTCAGTTAAAACTGATGCTTTCTTTTAGAGATATTGCAGATTGAAGAAAATGATCATGGTCCAAAAATTATCGTAAAATTGACTTTTCTTCAATCTGCAATATCTCTAAAAGAAAGGATCAGTTTTCACTGAAACATTTGGAGCCTTCTAACATCGATGAGACCTATTGTTAGGAAAATTTTCAGTTCGAAATTCCTTCATACAGTTTTTCTATAAATCCCTTGTCCAAGGTCGAAAATTCAGTAAAAGAGTCATAACTTTGAAAGAAAGACCTAATGGCACGAAATATTTTAGTCTTTCCCTAGTCTCATTGAATCCTTCCTATGAGCAAAATATGAGACCAAACGGTGTGAATCACTTGGGAATGGTCTCTCGTTAGTTCAGTTCAAATATTTCACATTAATAGTTTCTTCTGTTATGAGCACATTTTACATAGAAGAGCTACTTTGTGGCTGATACAAGAGGGGAAAAGCGATTTATGAGTTTCATGATTTTTCTGAGTTTAGCTGATTTAAAATGAGTTTGAGAAAACGAAAAATTTGCTAAACTAACTAAAAACTATTCCAAATCATAAATTATTACTGAAAATCATTCAAAGGCACCGAAACTCACGCAAACTCATTCCAATACAGTTAATTTATATTGATTGTAAGTTGAGTTTTACTGTGATTTAAATCAGCCTTTTCCCCCTTGGGCTGATATCATTTGAATTTTACAACATTTTTCTGCACCCGCATGAATATATCATGTGACGAGTATAATAAGCTTGACGTATAAAAATAATTTTTATTTCATTTTACAAAAAAGAAGGATTCCGATAGTACTACACGTATCATCGGTTGCATAATAAGTTGTAGACGCTCTTGACAAAACTCTAGTTGTATTAAACAGAATTTGATTTCGAAAAAATTAATTAAAATAGTTTAATATTAAATTGATGGAAAGACCCTGTACATTTTCAAGGAAATAATTAGATGCAAAACAATGGCTGTAAGCGATTAATTGGTTTTAACTCGAAACTACCAAGTAGTCAATTAGAAATATCAAGATTTTTTTTTATTTTTCGGAAACCGATTTCAATCTCTTTTCAGTCTTATTCAACATAGAATTCTTATGACAAAGTTGATTTTGTTCATTATAAAATATACTCCTTGTTAATCTAAAACTAAACGATAAGCATCTGCGTAAACCTCTTTTGGCAATAGTCAAAATAAAAGCTAATAGGGATTTGTTTTATGATCTATTTTGAAAGAGTCTAAAACCATTCTATAATATACAAAGTAGAAATAGTTAGCAATGCAGTAAAATACTCTTTTTGTGGAACTCATATATATTTTCGAAGAAAATTGTGAGTGTAAGTTTAATTGTTAGGTTTTTGCGGCTCCCCTGTACCCCCCCCCCTCTCCATTACAGACATAAAACATAAAAAAACTAACACTTCGGTGCACTAATTAGATGAAATTTTTATACAGATGGATTGCCTATGTTCACCACTGCTCACATCACTAATAAAAATCTAGTTTCACTAATTAGAAACCATTATAATTAGCATTTAGTCTCTAATTAATCATCAAAATCTGTCGTTTTTATTATTATAGTCCATAGTTACGATAATAGCGCATATTCTTATTATTATAGCCCATAGTTACGACAGTATTATATTTTATTATTATCAAAGACGTTCGCAACCAGTGTATGCTACCGCTACAGAAGCTAGTAACTAGTTTATGCTACTATTACATTCGTTACTTCTACCACCTACAATAAACAGATGAAGATTTTAATCTTTTTTTTCTCACACGAATACCTTATTCTAGAGCTTGAATCCACTTTAGTGTATTTACAATTCGGAACTTTTCCATCCACTGGGAAGTTTTTATCAAATTTTCGTTTATGAAAAAATGTATCAATTTCTCACCTGGTAAGACGAAAAAATATAAATTTCTCAACAATATTGATAGCTATATCATAAATACTGTTTAAACTATTATCATTCACAATATTTCTCAATGAAACCACTAAACACTTCAGCATACTGACATATTTTAAACAAAAAGTTTTTCTTACGTTCTCTCTAGTAATATTTTCTATTGATAGATCCCATAAATTTCAAATGTTAAAAAGGTTTTATTATCTTATTTTTGAACAAAATATGATCTCACTACACTGAAAAAATAAAACTTCTATTTGATCAATATCTAACTGACTGAAATGTGTGAGTTCCACATTTTAGCCCCAACGGAGCTGCGCTGACAAGCTTTTTTATGTAATTTTTATAATGAAAATAAGCCTGTAAAAATATTTTTATTGAAATGATGATGATTTGTACAAACGATATTTTATTTCATGCCTAAACAGATAATTCTAGTTTTGCTTATGTCCGATGATTTGAACTTCACTTTAAAGATTTTTTTCTAAAATTTAATTGATCTTATTAGTCTTTTCATGTTTTATCAATTATTGTTCAATGAGCAATTTCATCAAAATGTGATTTCCCGTGAGATTCTATTTTTAGTAAAATCACATCGAATTGTTTGAGATATTTATTTATCCATTGTAGCTGTATCGCGAGATCGATATAGTTAATTTAAATTCCTTTTTAATTCGTTCAAAGAAAAACTTCCGCGATTTTTTTACCCTATTATTTTACGAAACAAAAGGGGCCAATAGACGTTTATTAGGAGATTCAATAACATGCAATATTTCATGTTCTCAAGAATCGAGACAAAACAAAACTAATATTACTCTTTTTGTCTATAAAATGAAAACTGAAATAAATACGTAGGAAGATAATCAGAGATCTGCTCTTTCGTTAACAACACGAATGTTTTCTCAAAACATTACGCATGATTTTCAACCCTTTCTTTCTGTAAAATCCCTTTTCTCGGGTACACAATTTACAATTCTCTTTCAGACTTGATTCTGTAATTATATTTAATTCTTTTTTTCATCGTGTCAAAACGACGAAGTTCGTTTTTTTAATTAAATTTTCCTGTGATTATATTGTTTGAGACATTGAACTTTTCTTTGCCTCAAGTGTAAGTTTTTAAGAAAACCGTGTTCTTATGCCCTTCACATTGTGACATGCTTTTTCTAACGTAAACAAAAATTGTTATATAGAATTCAGTCCCCATAGAAAACTTTCTGTTGTTGAATGAACTGATTTTGACATTTCTTTATTGAAGGCTATGAATTTTATCATAATCTGTTCGCTACCAGAGCGCCAACATCATTGAAAAGTTTCGAATATTGATTAGAATGCATATTGTTTTTTCGTTGTTGATAGATCAAAACTTTTTATCTAAACAAAAGCTACAAAGTACACTACTACGACTATTCATTGGTGTGAGAACTGCTCTCTGAACTATTTTAAATGTTCGAATCATTTTCAAACGTGTTCATAAACCAAAAAGAAACAAGGGAAAACAATGTTCATCGATTAGAACGATAATATATTCAACTAGCACCGGTTGATGAAGATGATGAAGAAGTTTCAGGCGTTGGGAAAGAAGAAAGAGCAGTAAGACGAGTAGTACGTTCGTGTTCAGCAGCTTGTTTTACATAGGAACTAAATAATAATAGAATAAATATGAAAATAAAAAGGCATGATTCGATAAGTGAAATACATACTAATCATTATAAATTGGTTCGCCTTTCCATCGAGCAATCAAATCATATTTATAATGAAGATACAACAAAGTATAAAATGAAACACCAAACGCAATAGGAATTTGAGGACGATTCATGAAAAGCCATTCGACAAATCGACGACCACGAAAAGCAAAAACACCTTCTTTAAATAAGCCCATGTTTATTTTCGTTGTTCTTGTTCTTTCAAAAGTATTTCTCGAGCACGAGATGCACGATTCCAACCAATTATCTCGGGTCTAAAATCAATCGAAAAAACAGTAATAATAATATTTTACTTGTTTTATCTTTCTTCGTTTACCTTATATATTCAAGTGGTACTAGTAGATAAAAACACGCAGATATACTAGCAATAAGCACAGTAGCTGTTGTTAATGAAAGAGAACCTCCGCTAGGTGCAAATAGTCGTCTCGTACGAACTTTTAATGGTTTAACGTTGAATGGATCGTAACCTGGTGTTGATGATTGTGTTGTACTCATTCACTTTTTTCGTTATACTTATCGGCAACTGGTGGCGATAAATACGGGATACGAAAGCCTAATAAATTACGGCGACGTTCAGAGGGAGGAACAAGTGCTGGACTAGAAAAATGAATATATTATAATTTCTTTTTTTTCTTCACAACTAACTTTTGTTGAATTGACCACCAAGATATATGAATACCAGCAACAATTGCAACTAGAGTAACAATCGGACTTAAACGAGTTTTATAAAATCGGACAAATCCCATTCAACGGTACAAAAACAAGAGCTTATATCTATAATATTGAAAAATATATAGCACCAAAACTTTCGAGAATAATATTTATTAGATGAAAGAAGAAAAAAAAACTGATTTTGAATAGATGAAGAATTTAAGAGTCAATCATCGTGTCATTTAAACGCCTGAGACGCTATTCACTTGCCCAACTTAAGTGGACCTTTACCAGCTGCCTTCTTTTTGGCATCTAAAAAATTCAAAAAGAAACAAAGATGAGAAAAGAATATATAACAAATCAATGTATTTTGCCTAACCCTCAAGTTTCTTTTGTTCTTCACGTTGTTTTTCTTTGAACGCTTTTTCATCGTCATCTAATTCCTTGTCTTCTTTTTTTGGATTCTTTCTGTAGATATTGAAAAACCATTTTAGTAAATAATTAATTAAGAAAAAACAAAACTTACAATGGTTTCAATTTACCACCCTGACGACCCGACATTGTTTTTCGTACTCGTTTGCAACTGAATGATGTAAGCTAAATATTACTATCAGAAATAACGAATCACTCGATGAATCATAGTTTACTTTGAAAGACCAATCTACAAGAAAAGCGCTACATAATGTTTTATTATCTATTATCAATAGAAAAAATTCAAAATTAGAAAAAAAAATTCATTTATTGAAATGTTTTTATTTTATTTCGACATACTAGAACGACATCTTCATTATCATATTTTTCCTCTTTCTATCGTTTTGCCCTTCAATCATAACCGAAACCCTTCTGCTGTCGCTATCATCATTGCACATTTATATTCTTTTTCTTTTACCAATCGAGAGCTTTTGTGAAATAAAAAATGCCTACTAGGCGTTACCATAGACGCCAATAAGAAAGAACGAGAGTGAACGACTAAGAGGAGAAAAAAAAGCGACAAACAGATGTATGTTTGCTCACATACAAATCGGTAGTTTTTCTTTTTTTGAAAATTTTTTCCTTGTAGAATATATATATTTATATATATATAAATATGGCGGGAGATACTGAACTCAATGTTGACAATTTGATAGCAAGATTACTCGAAGGTAGAAAATTGATTAAATGTAGTAATCTGAAAAAAAATCAATCGTTTTATTTTCGTAGTACGTGGATGCCGACCCGGAAAGATTGTTCAAATGACTGAGGGTGAAGTTCGTGGATTATGTTTAAAATCTCGTGAAATATTTCTTAGTCAACCAATTTTACTTGAACTTGAAGCACCATTGAAAATTTGCGGTATGAATTATCGGGTTTATTTTTATGATTGTATCCGATTTTTATTTTAGGGGATATTCATGGACAATATACTGATTTATTACGCTTATTTGAATATGGTGGCTTTCCACCTGAATCCAATTATTTATTTCTTGGAGATTATGTTGACCGTGGAAAACAATCTCTTGAAACAATTTGTTTATTACTCGCTTATAAGGTTTGTTTGATCGATTTAAATATAGTAATAAAATATCGATGTTGTTCTTAGATAAAATATCCAGAAAACTTTTTTCTCTTACGGGGAAATCATGAATGCGCTTCAATTAATCGAATTTATGGATTCTATGATGAATGTAAGAAAAGTTTAACTTGAATGAGAATTTTTCTATACTTGAATGCAAATATATCTTCTAGGCAAACGTCGTTATAATATTAAACTATGGAAAACATTTACTGATTGTTTTAATTGTTTGCCGATTGCTGCTATCATTGATGAAAAAATCTTTTGTTGCCATGGAGGTATGATTTTAACTGTTTTATGCTCATATAAAATAGATATAATTTGTCTCATCGCGATTTTTTAATACTATTAAAAGAAACAATATTAAATGACGTCCAAAGATTCATTATCGCTTTTTTTTCGTTTTGTTCAAGGCTTATCTCCCGACCTTCAAACCATGGAGCAAATTCGACGAATTATGCGTCCAACCGATGTCCCAGATACTGGTATATACACTCAATTAGAATGAATTCTATTTATTTTCGTTGTTCTTTTATTTTCGTTTTCTAGGTTTACTATGCGATCTTTTATGGTATGTAGTTTTACTCGTTGTTGACTAATATTTAACATAACTTTATAACAGGTCCGATCCGGATAAAGAAACTCAAGGTTGGGGAGAAAATGATCGTGGTGTTTCGTTTACATTCGGCGCTGATGTTGTAGCTAAAGTATGTTAAATCAATTTCATGTTGTTATTTCTTTTTCATCATACTGCTTTTTATTTCAATAGTTTTTAAATCGACATGATATGGATTTAATTTGTCGAGCTCATCAAGTACGTAGAGATATGATTTTCTTTTATCAAAACAAGAAGACATTCAATTTTGCAATAGGTTGTTGAAGATGGCTATGAATTCTTTGCGAAACGTCAATTAGTAACATTGTTTTCAGCACCGAATTATTGTGGTGAATTTGATAATGCTGGTGGAATGATGTCTGTTGATGAAACACTAATGTGTTCTTTTCAGGTAAATCGTTTTGTTTTGCTTTTAAATTAAATTAAATTAAGTTTTTATTAGATTCTAAAACCAAGTGAAAAGAAAGCTAAATATCAGTACGGTGGCATTGGGAGTGGTCGACCATTGACACCACCACGTGCTCCTACAGCTCCGCCTCAGACCCAACCTAAAGTAAACAAGAAATGAACGATGATAATAATAGAAGAATAAGAAATATGTTTTTTGTTTTTGTTTGTTTATTTGTTCCTATGATCGATCGTGTATATAAAAAAAAAGAATAATATCATCGAGCTTATTTGTGCTCGTGTCCTATTTGTTTTCTCTCTCTCTGCTGGTTTATTTTGATCATGTAATGATGTTCAAATTTTTCTCTCGTACTGTAATTGACATTAGAAAGAGGAAGGGAGAAAAAAGAACACAAGATGGTGAGCAACATATTTTTCCTGAATCTCCAATAGCTGTCATTTGTTATTGATTGGATTATCATTGTTATACAATTATTGAACTATTTCCATCCCGTGTTTTCTTTTCTAGAATAATTCATAAAAAAAAATAAAATAAAAACAGATTTTTTGTGACTTCGTTCATTCTCTTTATTTCTTCTTTATTATCTCATTGAGTTTTACATGTTATTTGTTCATCATCACATGTGTTGTTACACTCGCTTTCTGAAATAAATTTTTCTTTGTTTTCGTCTATCGCTTTCGCTTCTTGTTTGTTTTTTTTTCGATCTAGAAAGTCATTTCAATAAAAATATAAAAACAGGAGACATTCGACATAAAATATTCTGTTGGTTAAATTCTCGAGATAATAGATTTTATGTCGATGGTGTAAATAGATTATTTCTCATGTTTCCTAGTTGGAATAGGCCTGGAAAAGCAAGCTTGCTGATAGTTATCTTTTGTATAGTATGAAAAGACCTAGATTTATTGATTTATTTGATGCAGTCAAATCTATTCGAGTATTTAATTGAAACATACATCGCAGCGTTTGTCAGAGTCCCAGCGAAAAAACATATTTGCAAAGGGCTTTCCCGTCGGAATTTTATCAGGACACAGCGATGTATGAATTGACAGCATCAAGGGTAATAAATGTTTTTATTTTTCACCGAATGATTATTTAAGTAATATATTATGTCAATAACAGCGTTGACAATAGACTCATTTAAATAATTCATACAAAGTATAGAAAAACATCGTCTTTACGTTGCCTACAAATAAAAAGAAATATTAATATTGAACTCTGTTATTGAATGACTTTAAAAATTTCTTCCAAATATTATTGTTAACTAAATTTATACTATGAATTTTATGTATTCTTCGTCTTGTTTACCACTTGACGAAACAATACATGCGAACATAGTGTATGATTTTATGTGATAAAGTAGAGGTTACTTAAGCCATGCAATAGGCATGTTTATTTTAGTGAATGGTTTTGCGCCAGTTAACCTGAATTATACAGATACTATTGGGCGGAATATTTATTCCGGTACAATTGAAGCTACACCAAATAACTGTCCAAATTTTAACATGATCACTTTGGAAGATTGAATTATGTTAAGATTTCTATTGTGTTTTGGGTTTGAGTAGTATTCGAAGATAGTTATTGTTTGAAAATTAGTATGTTGAATGGCTACTAATCAATCATGAAGTTTATTGATTTTCAATGTACCAGGACCAGGATATGACGTCAATGGGAAATTAAAGAACCAAAAAAAAAAGAAAAGCAATAATCAACACATGAATAACATCGACTCTGCAAAATATTTATGATAAATAAGTACATGGCAGCTGACCTTCAACACTTGTCTTTAAATAGATATGAAAATGTCGCTAATCGGTTTTTTTTTGATATCTCTGATCAGATTATGAACAGTTGGATATATTATAATTAAGCTTTTTCTCGTTAATTTCAACAGCAAGAAATGACTACAACTTGAGTTTAAAATTCAAGTGTATAGAGTGCAAGAGCATGCAGTGAACATGATAGGTAAAAATTGATAATCTAATATGCCACCCAAAGCTCTTCACGTTTATTGTATGAAAAAACTTGTTTATTGTCTCTGTGGCTATAAATGTTTCTAAATGGACTTAATTGTAATTGATTGCTTTTTGTGTTTGAATTAAGATCTTTGATGATAGGAAATCTCTCGAGATATTCTATAGTCAAATCAATTGAATTTCATGTCATTAGGTTTTTTTTTTTTTTTATAAATCGGCAATCTTCTATGCATTTGGATAAATCATCTAGGCAATACGTAAAAAAACATAGATTCTTTATATTTCGCTGATTGAATATAGTTACAACAAGTTTAGGCCAATTTATGAAATTCTCGAGAACGCCAATAACTCTAAATTTAAGAATAAATTTAATAATCTACATAAAACTTTCGTTTGAACAAAAGAAGAATATTAGAAATAGAAAAAAATTAATCTGATAATGTCAAGAAAACGATAATCTTACACAAAGATCTAAATAATAATCGAATCGATCGCTCGATGAAATACAATTATACCCGAGAATATAAATAAACATGATTGTGGTCTTTACACAGTGTTAACTCTTACTACCATACGATGAGAAAAAATAATTAGAGCCTATCAATAAATAGTAAATAAAAAACATGAACAATTCATTATCTTTTTTTAAATTCATTGAAATGAAAATCAAATCTTTAATAATTCTTTTCTTATTCTATAACATGACAATCATTCCAATATGTTACGTTTAATCTATATGATTAGAAAAACAGAAAAAACCAACAAGCAAATGTTTTACAAAAATACTCATACATGGGAGAAATAAATCAACAACAACATTACAAATCTAACTTTGGTAATATGCTTGTTTTTGAATGATTCTTTGTTTGGATAATTCATGCATTTAAAGCAGAGGATAGAGGTGCTGTCTAAGAAGAAGGAAAAAAAAGCATCTGCATCTACGCAAACAGCCATACTCAACTAGATGAACATAAAAACTGTTCGCAAAAACGAAACGAAAAAAGAAAAAACGTTCTTTTTACATACAAAATTTTAATCGAGAGGAATGTTGAAAACTACAGTCTGATATGATAAATTTTTTTTATAAATGAACAAAAGAACAACAAATGTTTATATCAGTCAATCATTTAAGAAAGGTAGGAAAGAAGAAAACAGGTATCTGATAGAACAAAACGAGTCAAAAAAATTCTCTTCGAGACATGTCAGAACACAGGAAAAAAAAGAATAGGAAGACAAAATTTATTCACATATTTTTAAAAAAAAATTGTTTTTTTCAATTTCTTTTTTAATTAACAAGGGTGGATTTTTGAATTTGCTTTTGAAGACGTTCAAGTTCGATTTGTAACGTTGCACGTGCTTTCTTCTCCTCGTCTAATTCACTAACAAGATCACGAATTTGATCAGCAAATTTTACTTTCATGTCATCCATTGAAACTTTTATTTTTAATAAATCTTTTTGTAATTGTTCAATCGTTGTGGTGGTACTATTAGTATTTAATGTATTCGAATTAACATACGACGAATTCGTGGCCGTATGAACTAATTCTGTTGTACTATTAAGTGAAAGTGATCCTTGCTGATTGGTGTTTACTAATGTAGAATGAAGTGATGATGGACGATTTGTATAACGTGGAGACTCCAATTGTCCTGGTTCTTAAACAAATAAATTAGATTTCGTATTGAAAAATAGTTTCTATGACAACATTATACCTCGTTGAGATGATGGAGGTGACGGAGTATGAACTCTATGTTCAGGCTAAATAATAAGACAAAAGATAATTATCTTAGTTTAAGAATTTTCTAAAGGAAAAAACAAAATTTATCTTTGATTAACAAAGAAAAAATCCTTTATTTAACTAGAGATTGATATAATTATAATAATATGTAAATAGAATGAATCCTATTGAATCGATTCATTCTATTCAAAACTGACAAAGAAAAATCTAAGCAGTTAAATGTGTTTATTGAAAGCTTTTATGCCTTGAAGGATAGACTCTTAAAATAAAAATGATGTTTTGTTATTGTTAGAGTATCTAGGTCAATAACCTCTGGATTAGTCATATTATTATAGAGAAAAATTTTTAAAAACTGAACAATCTAACCTTAGCATCTGCAGATTGTGGACGATTATTTTGATTCGTTTCCTCAACGGAACCTGTTGTTTTACTCAATCCATTTTCCTATTTTAAAAATGAATAAATATTGAAATGAAAATCTTCGTTCCTTTCGTTGAGATTAGACAAACCATTTTTCTTATTGTTGATGAAGGTGGTCGTTTCGATGAAACAGGTTTTGGTTTATTGAAACTACTAAGTTTTTCTGTTGTACCAATCGCATCAAGATTATTAATTTCTGCATAATGATTGCGTGATGTATGTCCTTAATAAAATAATATGTTCCAATGAACACATATGTTTTATTATTATTATTATTATTATTCCATTTACCTTCTTCGTCGCTAATGGAAGTTGATTTTCCAGGACGCGAGTCATTCGAATATGTATGAGATGAATCTATGAATTCGAATTTATGTTTGTTAAATTTCAATAACTATAAAACTTCTTCTTACCTCCGTTAGTTATTTTTGCTTTGGGTAACGTTTGTGTAGGATTTTTTGTTCCTGCTTCTGGTGTATTTGGTCGATGTTTCGAGTTCTACGGAAAGAAAAAAAATAAAACCAATTTTCATTGCGTGTCTAATTAATCATTAATAATGAACAAACTATTAATGGTGTTGTCATTGCCGGAATTTCTTCAACATAATTATCTAATGAAAAATAAAATAGTCATTCATACAGAGAACTAAAATTTTACCTGGAAACACTCCGATTCGACCATTAACTTCTCCTTTCCACCAGCCTTCATCTTCAAGATTCTTATCTAGTACAGTTACAATATCATTAACTGTAAGTGTTAATTCATCATCGGCAGCTTTTTTGTAATCATACAAAACACGTGCTTTCATTGGTGTATTCTTTTTAGTTGTTAGTAATGGTGGAGTAGTTGGAGTTTTTTGTTGAGATGGCGGTGTTTCTATGGCTGCTGGTGAAGCTGGTTTATGTGTCTAATAAATAAGAAAAATAAAATAAAAAATAAAATTTCGACATGAACATACTTCTTTAGTAGCCAATGTACCAAGACCATTAACTGGTTTACGTTTCAAGGGTGGATCTTTTTTATGATCTATGCAATAATATATTCAATTTAAATCAGTTATTTGTTTTATTTTCTTACTTGTTTCATCATTTATACGTGTAACATAATTTGATGGAAATAAACCCATTTTACCATTGATCGTTCCTTCGTACCAACCTTCTTCAACCTAAAAAATAAAATAAAATGTTCATTTATGTGTTCAATATAAAACAATTAATCCTACCAAACGTGTAACATTAATAACATCATTTGGATTGATTGTTAATTCATCATCATGTATAGGTGTATAACCATAGGCAACTTTCACTTGAAATAATGTTCCATTTGGTAAATTATTTGAATGTTGTGATTGAAAGACTAGTATAGAAATAAACAATAAAGTCATGGAGCAACGAAATCATCACAAGTAATAAAAGAACGAAAAGAAAATCAAAAGTAAAGCATAGAGTTTGCAAAAAAACATCAATTTTTTATGCATTATGCTTTCGTTGTTTGAAAACAGAGCTAATACATACAAATCTTTTTACATGTAAAAGTAAATACAAAAAGAGTATCGACATTCAAGCTACACAGTTTAAAATATTACAAAAAACAAAAATTAAAATTCTACTCACGAGCATCGTCATTTGCAGGTCGTTTTCGTAATGTACCACTTTTATTTGCATTAACTGCTGATTGTAATCGAGATCCAAGTTCATTTGCAAATGTTCGATTTTTAGCTTTTTCTTTCGTCAATGGCTGTCATGAAAAATTCAATACGTAAAAAATAAATAAATAAAAATTCAACTTACAGTAACAAAATTTTCTGGAAAATGACTTGAAAGAAAAACGTAAACTTTAATTAAATTTAGTAGAAGAAGAAAAAAACTACAAACCCAAATGTTCCACGACATTCTCCTTTCAACCAACCATCTTCAGCTGGTACAGCATCAGTGATAAGATCTCCTTTTCTTATTGTTAATTCATCTGATGATTTAGCAATATAATCATATTCAACAATATATGTGCCCACTGACGATAAGAGAAAGAAAATAATATTCAAAATTCAAATTAGAAATTAATTCTTACTTCTCTTTAATTATGGCGTGTTTAGTTCATTGGAATTTAAATCTAAAAATAATGAAGTAAAAAAAAGAAATTGAATGATTATAGACTGCGCCATTGTCCTTCGACTGAATAGTGTGACCCAGTAGTTTTTTTTGTGCTCGAAAGTAAGTAAATCCATGCATATATATATATATATATGTGGATACACGTATACGCATACGTACATCAAGCAGCAACAGATGTCAAATGTCAACTAAAGGGACAGAGAGGCGCAAAAGAGGAGACAGGCAAACGAACGAACGAACTACGGTATACATTCTGCTCTGTTACCAAAGTGAAGAAACAAAGTAAAAAGAGACAGAAGAAAAGAAGAAAAAAATCAGGAGCAGCAATAAGCGCTGGTTGGCGAACGGTGAAGAGCAAAATTCTCTTTCTTTGAAGAGAGAGAGAGTTTTTCGCGCATGCATACATATAATAACCAACAACGACCATGTTAATTCTTAGTAGACTGGTTGAATAGTAAGGCAATCCATATATAACCATTAATAGAGAGCGCTAGATGTCGATCATTAACTGTCATTATATCATGCTCAGAATAAATAAACAAAAGCCAGATGGCTGACTGTAGTTGTGCCAACATAATATTACATATTTTTATCCTACTTGCATAGAATCTTTTTCTGTTGTTGTTGTTGTTGTTGCTGTTGAAATCTTATGCCGTTGTACTCTTTTAATCATGTGTAAACGTCTGAGTACTTAATCATGCGGATAAGTGAGTTTTTAATGCGAATATTTTATACAATATTGCCTATTCTATATTGGCACATTTCTCATTGTGCTCATTTTCTTCACAGAGCTTTGCGTTTCATTCACACATAAGATTCTGTTCGCGTATGAAAGAGAATGTTGCGCCAATGCTCTCTTCATGCGATCTTATTGTGATTCTTTAGAGTTGAATTCGACTATTGATTGAATTTAAATGAACGGTGACGTTTTATTTTTTAAGAATTTTTTCTAAGTAATAAAATATGATGGAATCTTTCAGATATTTCTCATTCAATATACATACTTTTCGAATTATCTTGTTTATTGCTCATAGACGAATGGCATGCGTACTTAATGTGAAGCTTCCTGGAGTAAAAGAAAAAGAGCATAATCTTTATATGGATATTTATGATATGATTCGGTCATAAAATAAAATACGTAACAGACGTTTAATAATTACTTGACTTTGACTTCAGTTGTGTGTCTCTTCTTGCCAATTTTTTCCTTGATAATAGTACTAAAGTAAGATTAAAAAAAAAGAAATGAAGATTTTTTTAAACTCATGAGAAATTGATATTTGAGATTGAAATCAGAGCATATTCAACTTGAAAATAATGTCCTTGATCACTCCTTTATATGCAGTGATATCAATTGGAAGTCATATCTCTTCTATTCAATGTTGATGAACATTCTACAGTAGAGTTGTTGTACACTCATTGGTATGTCGTTATATTTAATTGAATACCATTTCTACATCATTACTACGCTTTTAATCAACGTGTTGAAAGTGTATGTTGAAGACAAAAACTCAGCTTGTAGTATACTGCCATCTGTGTAATATAATCTTTTCATTGGTGTATTCTTTGATGTCGCTATTGTCGATCGATTACTTCTTATCATAAGACCGTAATTCAGTTTGCTAAATCTCAAAAGTGCTCATTGAGTTATTGAATTATTGATATGAACGATCCATCATTTTCGTCTGAAAATGTTCATGCTCCTACTTGTTGTTCATCATCGTCAACACCACCGATGCCAATGTTGACAACAGACGATTATCTTGATGGTCTTCATTGTGTTCATGAAGCTCAAAAAGTAAAAGCAAAACCAGAAGAAATTATATATAAATTACGTCTTTACCTTGAAGATAAAGTTGGTGGCAAAAATATTTTAAATACAATTTTAACACTTATTCGTACGAAACAAATCATGGATTTTAGCAATCATAAAGAGTTTGAATATTGCACGAGTTTATTACCACTTTTTATGATTATTATTTGTCTGGAAAATTCACTTGTCCAACAAAGATGAAGAATTGATGACACAGTGATTGATTGTTGTATATTCTATTTTAATCAGAAATACGTGTACCCGGTCCTAGTGAAACTATTTTTCTGTTTCTTGACTTTCAATAAAATTGATGAAAAAAGATACTTTTATTTTAAGAAATTATTATTGGAACACCATGACCCGTATGTTACTCTTATGAGCAAAGGTCATTGTTAGTTTATAGTAAAATAATAAAAAAATAGATGTGACAAATCAGGTAGGTGATAATACATTTAGGTCATTATAGTACGTCTTTTGATTTCCTCAGAACTCTTAGTTGCATTTTATTGCACAGACGTAGAAATAAAAAATAATTATTTTAAAATTTTAATCAATAATTATATAGATTAGTGTAGAATTTACAACAAGACGACAAATGTATATTTTATTGTACAGTTGGCATTGTTTCAATAGGGAGGACCATATTGATTTTGAGGTGGGCGATAACCAGAGCCACCAACACGACCATCACCATTGAGATCCATATGTGTAACTTTTTCTAATTGATTAATCAATCCACCACCCATACCACCCCCTTGATATGGAGCAGGTGCATAGCCGGGTGCACCGTATTGATTCATTGGTGGTGGAGCATAACCACCACCATATTGATTATAGTTCGGAGGGTAACCAGGGCCACCATAATTTGGAGGAACCGGTGGACCACAGTATTGATTATATTGCGGAGGATAACTAGGAGGTCCATATTGGTTAGGAGGTGGGGCATAACCAGCACCACCACCAACACGTCCATCGCCGTTAAGATCCATATGTGTAACTTTTTCTAATTGATTCATCATACCACCTCCAGCACCGTGAGCTTGTCCGTAGCCACCACCATATCCCTGGCGACCTATTTTCGATCGATAAAACTGATTTTTATCAATCATGGTTACATTTAGAAAAAGAATCCATACCTGAACCAATGACACCATCACCATTTAAATCGATACCAACTTTCTTTTCAATTTGTTTTGTTATGAAATCTATTCAGAAGAAAATTTCTATCAATCAATTCTTACACTAGGTGATCTATGAAAGTAAACACTGAGACAGTGAATACTTCTCTTATTAGTTCATAGCAATCCTTTGATAAAAACTATCGAAATCAAATTTAAGATAAACTTACTCATGTTGTTTTGTTTTTTGTTGATGTGGGTAGTAGAAAAACTTGAGAATAATATATGATAATGTTTGGATTGGGTTATTTATACACTTTTCTCGGTAGATTACGACGAAATAAACGATAAAACTTGCTCAGTATGCCTACCCGCCTGCTTTTTCTTTTCTTCTGGCTACCCTTTTCTTTTTCTTTTCCCGTTCTTCTCTGAGTCAACAACATCTAATATGACAGATATGGTATCAACGTTGACGTCAATTTTTAACATTAGTCAGTCTAGCTCGTAGGACGTCATCCAGCGACATGCTTTCGTCACTATTCTTTCTTTCACATATTTTATTTTACATGAATAACTACTGATGTTTGAGGTTGTCAAATAGAAAAAACGACTGTTAAGCGCTATTGGCCTTGAATAATTCTATATAGGCTATAGTGACAATTCGAATGATGTCAGATTTTTCTCGGTGATAGTTTGAATTTCAAAAAATATTGACTTTCATTCAAAATTGATATCAACATACTTGAGAACTCTAAATCGGCAATGCGATATCTATATTGACAAAATACAACTTTTCACTCAATTTTTTTCACAACACGAAAGAAGACTTACGTTTAACCATACTCTGCTATCTAGAGCATTATATAATCATTTCGAAGCCTTTACTGACAGATTCTTGGTATTGTTCGTCGATTGATATCAAGATAGGGAGAGAACTCTGGCAGGAATTGATGTTATGATAGCCTCTAGAACAATACTCACGAAGTCTGAAGGGTTTAATAATGGTTGCCAACTGTTAAGGTCTCCAATGGGGTACAATTCTTTTCATAATGGGGTACGCTCGTGGGGGACAAAGTGTTTTTACAAGACAAGGAATTGATGTCACGAAACGGCTGGCAATAGCATTTTTAGCGAGAGAAAGATCACGTTCAACTGCCTGTGTGCAAGACATAATCTGGAATGTTTGCTTTCAAACAAATGAGTTCGCAGTTATTGCTGTTTTCAACATATTTTTGTTCAAAAGATAAAACAAAAATGTTTAATTAGAAAAAAACGCTCTGTATTCACATTAACTGACGCACATCTTTTTTTCATGACGGTACTGCTATTTACTTTTGGCAAGTTTGACCCATTCTGGTTGCGACTGTACAAATAAATCATAATCTTCACATTTCAGCTTAGTATTCAACTTCAACCTAACTTTTCATTCAGCCGCAGCTGTCTCAGTTGACATCGAGTTTCGACTTGGTGTCCATGCGTGCTTCATATGACTGAATCACCACCGAAGCAGACAAAAATTTGGAAAAGCACGTTTAAACGTTCAAAATGAGACGGTCATTGTGCGCCATTAGCGCTCATTAAAAACCGGCAAGAAAGGCGTTATGTATTCAAAATTTTCATTTTTAGAGCGTGAAGCCGGCGGAGAACTCCAGTTTTTGAGTGCTAAGCTGCATTGTTTTTACATTATAGAATAAAAGTGTGCTTTAACATTAAAAACTGAATTTTCCCGTCTTTTTTACGCTCTGAAAGTACAAATTTTGAACATAAAATGTGCTTCTTGCGGTTTTTTAATAAGCGCTAATGGCTCACAACCATGGTTCTATTTTGAGCGTTTAAACGCGTTTTTCCAAATTTTTGACTCCTTGGGCAGCCGGTTAATATGATTAACACTTTTATCTCCACAAGAAAAACGGTAGTTAAAGCCAAAAATGTCATTGATTTATATCGAAAGGTGATTGATATATATACTGTAAAGGGAAAAGTCCAAGTGGGGTACTGTATCTCAAAATGGGGTACAGTTGGCAACCCTGGATGGGACTTTAACTTTAATAAAAGTATTGTAAAAATGAAAGGTAAGTTTTAGCTCTTTATGTACGGTTATATATGGTTCTTAGTGTAACTTTAAACTTTAAACTCTGCTTATTAAAGTTTAAAGTTTAACGTTACTGTAAAAATTATATAGAACCGTACATAAAGAGCTAAAACTTACTTTTCATTTTTACAGTACTTTTATTAAAGTTAAAATGCCACCCCTACGTAGGATTTACGAAAATACCCATTATTGCTGGTGACTTTATTGTCTAAATTTCGTTAAAATTACGACAATTTGAAAAATAGTAGAAACTAATATATTTGGTTGAAACACACATTCCCTTCATTCATCGGTTAATACAAAGCTAAAAGTTACTATAAAAATATTCTAAGTATCACATCTTGAGTGTATGGGTTCCGGGTCAAATATGTACGGCAAGAAACAGTCTGATTCGGTGATTTTCCATCGAATTCTGGAAGCAGTATTCCGAAAAGTTTTTTGGCCTCCGTTTCCAGGGTAAAAATATATTATTTTAATAAGATCATCTTATTAAGATGAAATAGTTGTTGGTTAGAATTTTTAAAATACATCTTGTTCGATTATCATTTTTATAACAATTATTAGATCAACGTAAATAAGCGAATCTGTTTAAGTTTGTCAAACTCAATTCCCAGAATATTATGTAACTGATACTTTTCAACAAATAATTGTTTTAATGATACATAAATTAGAGTTAGCAAGTGCAAGAAAGTTACCAAACGATAAATATTGTTGTCGGTGAAGTTAAAACACTAAATAACGAACTTTCATGAAAAAATGAGTAGGTTAGATTCTTTGATCCTAGATAATAATTTGAAATTTATTCACAAAGCAAATAGGAGAACATTCTTCATTTATATCGAAATATTCCTGATCTCGAAACTTAGTCGTTCAAAAGTAACAACTTGCTAATTCGCAGAGCATCGCCATCTTGCGCCATACTTATTTTAGAATTTCTAGCATTGGAAATAGGTGGTAAAATATCTTATACTTCAAAAAATAATTGCATTCCAGAGTGAATTTAAAGAGCAACAACTTGTCTTCGTTTCAAAGTATGCAGTGAAATGAATCAATTGAATTCTGTTCTATTATAAATTTAAAACAGAGTTTTCATTTGATTTTCAAAATTACATCGAAAATATTTAATTGTGTTTAATCGTAGAAGAGACACTCACCAGACACAATCTTCGTAAAGTCACTCGATACTTTTTCTATGATGTATGAATTAAATTATATTTGTGTAACACATAATTTTGAGTAATAAATTGTAACTCGAATTTATCATAAAAATATCACAGACATTTGATTGTTTCATGAAATTACCGTGTTTTTTTCCTCTGAGAATCTGAATAAGAACTGAATATAATCAATATGCCATCCTAACAGAAAATCCCATACTTAGAATTAGAGAATCACATTTTAACAAACATGATTATTAAAATTCAGGTGGCTTGTAGGTTCTCGACTTACACAATAGGAAAAACAGACAACGGGTAAAATATTAATATCTTTGAATTAGTATTAATGAATGTGTCTGAAAGTATTTCATATTTTAAAAAGGTAGATACATCGTTTTCATGATTGTATTTCAACACTCCATTGATTTCAAGCTATGAGTAGAGATATATTTTATCTTTCAATTTAGATCACTTCAAGCAAATTTCATTCCTTTGTTTTTTTCTAAAATATACAATTATTTAAGTGACTAGAAACTTTGCCTAGCCAATTGTCTTAATCGAACTATTACACGTTGTTTAGTTTCACGAAGTTTTGTATTTATAAGATCTGAGCAATATAAGCTGCGTTCGAATCAAATTCTGCTGAATCTTTTTATTCAAATTTTCGTTATAGAAAAAAAAACTAAGGATTCGAATTTGAGAATGAAAATGTTGATCATTTATAAACAGTAAGCAAGACGAAGGTTTTTTTTATCTGATTGTGTTATCCATTTTCACGAAAACTTGACAACCGTGAAAAACCTATAACATATTTCACATCCGTTGGGCTTGAAGTTAGATAGTGTTACCACCAGTATTACTCTATGAAAATAATATTTGACTTATCGATCATAGGTTATGATAAAAGTAAACACGCAGTATTGCGAGTCTAATAAATTGTGATTTATACAATGATTTTTCTGACTACCGTTCTAAGCTTTATGTATAGTTGGGATTTTAAACAAATTTTCCAGTTGATACTTATATGTGTCTATTGACGAAAGTATCGAAAGTTTACGGTATTCATATTGTATTTTGTTCAGCGAAATAACTTGTAACAACCACCATCAATAAATTCGTATATTACTCGATTTAAATCAGAATGATCTCTTACAACTATCGAAATAGGTACTTCATCGTTGCCATCAGAAAAAAGCATTTTTTTGTATAAGAGTCAACTTAAAACAATTGTGTCGATCACATTACATCTCGACCTATCAAAGTATGATCTTATTTGGCTCAACATTATTCAATTGTAACTAATAAATCAGTGAGATCATTTTCAATAAAAATACCGATTATTGTCTCTTTAAAAAAAAGAAATTAGCAGCTGTTTATGAATATCGAGATTGCTTCTATCATTAACATTTTATAAATTTTGATGTTCTAGAACTTTTTTCTTCTCACATCGATAAGCAGTACGTCGTTTGATTGTAAATGTATTGAGTCGAACAATTGAAAACAAATGTAATTCTATTACTTTTATGAATGGTTTATTCTTCATTATTTCAAAAATGAATCATTGTCTTTTTTTCTTTTTATTTAATTGAAAAGTGTTGCTCTGGTAGGTCGATGTTACCATCAACCCACACGATTTCGTCATCGCAACATGTATTTGATCAGTAAAGATCATTTACCTCTTGGTAAGTTGTAATAAGCAATTTTTCTTGTTGAGATATGGGGCACGATATTTCTTCTGTCCTTACGCGTTTCACATTTTTTCCGTTCTTTGCGAGCCTTGGAGTGAGCGATGTGTCATTGGAGCCGCAATTTCGTGCTTTCCTATCCTCCAAGATAGGCATCGCTTCTCGGCCTTTTCGACTAAGATCAAAATGTAGTATCTGTTCTCGTCGGCTTGAAAGCCGGCGCTGGTCCCATTGGGGCCAGGCTCTTTCAAGCGGATTTTTGGACATCGGCCAAGATCACCCGGGTTCACTCGGACCTGTGCCACGAATCGCCTTGACACTGCAGTGCCGTCGAGTTCGGTCCACTCCCGTCTCTTTCGGGAAACGGGAACCCTCTTCTTATAAAATAAAAAATACAATAAAATATCAAGTTCGATCTATTTTCACAAATTCTTTAAATACAAAAATTACATTTAGTAATGATTTAGTAATGAAGCAAATGATTTCATCGTTCGCCTGTTTAAATTTCGATTTATCTATAATGATAATAGATCGAAAAATCACGATTTTATTTTGAAATCTTTCAAATTCAGATACTCTCAACGAATAAATTCTTGATGGTTTTAATAATACATTAACAAATACTCGATTTGTTTCACCAATCAGTTCAACAACATCCAGATCTTTAAATTATGATGAACTCCTCGCGTTGATCAATCATGATCATTTGATATATTAAAGATCTTTTATGCTCTATTAATCCGAACATTAGATTTTATTTCATCGATTAACACTAAACAATTGACTTGACATACATGTTTACAATGAAATAATCCTGTTTACCATATTATTGATCTATTTGTTAAGCATAACTATGGAACAATAAGCTTGAACAAACATAACTATTCAAAAAACTTTTTGTCTTGTTTAAAGATAATGGCCGATCGATCTTTCAAATGTGTTCATTATGTTTATGAAATGGTTTATTTAAGGATTACGAAATAACTCTGTGAGTTTTGCTGAGAAAGATTCAATGATTTCTTGAAAAAATGAGTCAGTTAGATTCTTTTCTTCTAGATAATAATTTTAAATTTATTAACAAAACAAATAGGAAAACAGTCTTAATTTAGATCGAAGTATATTGATAGCTAATCGTGCAATTGTGTTTCATATCATAGTGGTATCGAGATGAAAATCAGAATAGAGCAAAGTGCTTTTTCGTTGGAAGAGTTCTTTCTCGAAATCTTTGTTCAAAGTCACAGCTTGCTCGTTTATTGACTGTGAACATTTTGCGTCATATTTAATTTATTTCTGTTGTAGAATTTATGGAATTGTAACTAGGTAGCAAAAGTAAAATATCCCATCAATGAAAAATATTGAATGCCAGACTCGATTTGAAGAATGATAACTTGTTTTCATTTCAAAATAAACAGTGAATGAATCAATTTATTCGCCTCCATTTTATTCATCACCAACTGACTACAAGATACGAGCTCGACTTTAATTAAATGAGCACGCAACGCAACTGCTGGACGTACCATTATGTCACTGTTTTTTGTTCAAATGCGTAGACGAACAAATGATACGATTTTAAAGTTTCTCTTGAATTGCAAAATCACATAAATGTTAAATCGAATAGTTTGCGGAGACTAAGCTCAGAAATTAATATTTCTAGTGGTACAGTTAAATTGTTTTTATTGGAGATGATCCAACAAAAATCTAATCCATATGTTCGCGATGATACAATATTTATTAAAATCATGGTTGATGTT